TGAGCGGCCTATGCTCCTCGACGAGGGGTAACAGGCGTAAGTAAGTAAGTAAGTATATAAATTCTGGAGAACAGAACCTCTAGGTCTTAGCAAATTAAATTCCTCTTTGTTTATAACATTCACTTAAAGGAGCTTCACTGGACTGCGATTTACTCTGAATTCCCGTTGTGTAACATTAATTTTGAACAGCACTTCCGACAGGAACTTACTCCGATCATCAAGTATTTAATTGACCTTTATTAATTTTCATGTGAAATGCCTTAACAAGTATATGTGTGATTAGATTACTCTAAATGTATAGCCCAAATACATCACATTTTTCAGACCAACTCTGTCTTCTCATCGTTTTATCAAAATTTATGAACGAGACTAATTGCTTTACATTTTATCTCTATTGAATCATAATCTATCCACAATTATAGGAAATAATAGATCCATCAACCGGTTAGGATTTTCTAACAAATGATGTCATTTTATTCGTCATTGGTTGAACTATAAGCTTAGTGTGTTTCTTATTTTTCAATGTTAACGGGTGCAAATAAACACGGGATAAAACAGTACATGAATAAATATACATTTAAAAAAAGCTTTTCTTTTGAAAGCAGCATATTAACTAAAATAACTCATAATGTCATTGAATAAGAAAAAGAGAATTCAGCGAAGAAAATTTTCATTTCGACGAAACCATTTACTTAAGCTGTACATTCGTATATATAGTGACATGGAAAATATATGTCTATAGGAGGCTAGAAAAGATTGCATTATAAATGGATTCGACAATAAATAACAAATGAGGTGGCGTACTAATCAAGGGGTAAGGGAGAAAATAATTTATGGGTCAGATAATAGTTCAATTGACAGATATGAAGAAAAGTGACAAACACAAAGGTCATAATAATAATAATAATTTGTTATTTATTGTCGAATCCATTTATAATGCAATAACTTCTAGCCTCCTATAGACATATATTTTCCATATAGGATGTCTATGGATGTCTATTCGTATACATTCGTATATGTACAGCTTAAGTAAATGATTTCGTCGAAAAGAAAATTTTCTTCGCTGAATTCTCTTTTTCTTATTCAGAAACATATTAACTTAAATTCTAATAAAATTACTGAATGTTCTAGTTCAACAGTGTTGTTTTGGCTGTCATAGTAATTTTACATTACCAAAATAAAAGAAAATAATATTCCTATTTATTAATGAACTAATAATTATTTCTCTAAAAATCGATAAACTTTTTCTCTTCCCCTTTTTCTTCTGTTAACTTATTTATATATATAACGTTTAAGAAAAAGATTTTTATCATGGACATAATTTCTATAGATCGATAAGTTGGATACAAATATTACTGTGAAAGTAACTAGAAATGGTAATGATTTTTGGTATAGAATAAAATAAATTTTAATGAAACACTTGTGTAATTTAGTGTTAAATTTAAAGTCTCATATTTTTAAACTAAAACAAAAAAATACACATGTATCAGGTTGTCTAAGTGATTAAAAAGTATCTGATCTATTACGTAAATTCAGTTTAGAATCATAAGATAAGGCAATAAGAATATCAACAAGTGGAGCAAGGGAATTCGTTTGGCATTAAATAACATGAATAAAATCATTAAAGATGTAACGTACTGTATGTCATACCTTTTTAAACGATGTAATTACTTAAAAGCCAAACTAATAGTGAGTGGATTTATTATTCCACTGAATATATAAATTGATATGTCTTGTGGGTTGAACGCTTATTCAGATCCTAAGCTATTCGGATAACCCCAGGACTAGCACTACTCAGCGACTTGAAGACCAGAGAGAAGACACGAGTAGCGAGAAGGTGCTTTGTTGCAAGGTTCATCTTTGTACAGAAAATCGTAGGTATTTATAGATGTTTGCTTAAGTTAAATCAACATCCTAATTCAGCCAATCCACTAAACGACATATATTGCTACTGACCAATGATAGCGTGCCACGTTGGAACTCCAGAATGTTCTGTCGTGCTCTGATTGGTTGGAGCTCTTTTTGAGTTCTCTGGAAACCGACTTAACACCTCCCCTTTTTTGAAGAAGCTGGGTAGGTATCCAAACTGCATTTGCTGACTTCAACCTCCCCCACGAAACAATGTTGGGTCCCCAACTTTCGACATAGTGCCGTTGTTGCAGATTGAATTTATGGGACGATCTAATAATTTCAACTTTTCTATCCAATCAAGTCCCAATAAGTCGAGTGCTGGTCGTTCTGTTAAAAATATTACTCCCTTCTTTGTAAGCTCTGCGACTGTGATTTTACAGTGAACCTCACCAGCAATGTTTATAATCCCCCCAGATGCGCCGTGTGCTATCTGATAGGTTGAAAATATTCTCGGCCTCCCAATTTTCTCCCACGTCCTCCTGCTTATAAGCGTTATATCGGAGGCTGTGTCTAGCTGTAAGCGGGCATCGTACCCGTTAATCTTGAGGGAAACATACTTTCTACGATTATGGGAGCCGATTCTGTTAGCAGCTACCGTCACCTTGGCTGTGCGTGGCTTGAATCTTTTAGAATAAACTTTAGGTTGACGACGTTTACGGGTTTTGCAATGACTTTCTTTGTGTCCTTTCCTGGAACACGTAGTACAACGATGACTTTTAAACGGACAAAACCTTTTGAAATGCCAACCTCCGCATAACCAGCATGGGGATGATGGTTTACCGCAGTCATTTCGATAATTCTGTATACTGGAACCTTGCTCGACTTTCCTCTCAACAGCATTAACGTGGAGGAACTGGTTAGTGTTTTCTACCATCGAGGTATCGTGCTTCAAATTCACTAACCTTTGACATTCATTAGTCACTTCCTGCAGGGTCATGTTGGGACAATGCTCAAGTTTGCTTAGGATTCTCGTTCGGATGTCAGCATCCTCAGATGAACGCAGGCTACAGACAAATACTAAGCATTTAAGCTGGTCTTCAGACATGGAAGACAAATTGAACCTCTCGCATTCTCGGTTTACAATACCTGCATGTTTCACCCAGTCATCTCCTGATTCTTTCGTTATCTTCAAGCACTGGTAACGGATATTAAATAGAGACGACTGTTCTCCAAAGATTTGAGACAGGGTTTGAATTGTTTCATCAAAACTAAAGTCTCGTGGGTTCTTCGGGAGAATAAAGTTACTATAGCGTTCATGTTCTGTTGTCCCAAGCTTTCTTAGAAGTATTCTGACTTTTGAAGCGTCATCCAGTTTGCAGAGATCAATATGAAACAAATCTTCATACTTCTTAAACCAAGAGTTAAAAGTGACACCTGCTGCACCATCAAAATTAAATTCATGGATTGCGTTAATAACTGAGTCAGTATGAGATACTTGAAATTCACCAGCAGCAGAGTTTTGTTGAGACATACATAATTTCTGCATAAGAGCTTCCATGACTCTGATTTGAGACTGTTCAAACCGTTTTTCTTGACGCTCCATATAAGCTTCAAATTGCTCTAAAGAAATACTCATTGTCATTTTTTTTCTCGTCGCCAGTGATATGTCTTGTAGTTTTTCCCCGTCGCCACTGACATATCTTGTATGTTGAACGCTATATTCAGATCCTAAGCTATTCGGATAACCCCAGGACTAGCACTACTCAGCGACTTGAAGACCAGAGAGAAGACACGAGTAGCGAGAAGGTGCTTTATTGCAAGGTTCATCTTTGTACAGAAAATCGTAGGTATTTATAGATGTTTGCTTAAGTTAAATCAACATCCTAATTCAGCCAATCCACTAAACGACATATATTGCTACTGACCAATGATAGCGTGCCACGTTGGAACTCCAGAATGTTCTGTCGTGCTCTGATTGGTCGGAGCTCTTTTTGAGCCTCTGTTGGAGTTCTCTGGAAACCGACTTAACATAAATGTATTATGGTTTTATGAGTGTTGCTTGTAAATGCTAATCGCGATGTTGAATTTTAGGTAGTTTTCGATAACGAAGACGGTTCTTAAGTGATCAGTATTTGAATAACTTCTTTGAATAGATAAATTCTTCAAAAGTTTTTGTCTACGAACACAAATACCGTTTACTTCACCAAGACAAAAAATAATTACATTTTATAGTCATATTATTATCATCTAATAATATTTCAACCGCATTATGTCGCGAAAATATTAATCCATAATCAACAAAATCACAGTGTTTTTCTCCTTATCTTTCCTAGACCATATTTTGTAGTCAAATAGTAACAAATTTACAAGATTTCTAGCTAAAAGATACAAAAATTTCGTGACATTGAGTTCATTTACTCTGTCGACGTATGCTTATTTTTTATAGAAATTCAAATAAAGACTAGATTATTAAAAAATTTTGAAGGATGTTATATACTTTCAAAGTTATTTACATGTCTGAGAAATTTTTTTGCAATAGCTACCAAATAAATCTTGTCGGTTCTCTAACGAATCAGGGGCCGAGATCAAAGCTTATTTTTTAAAAACCAAACCACAATGATAATTCTTTTCTAAACTAAAAACGTTTGGATGTCACCTGAGTTTTGATAGCCTATTGTTGTTTAGAGGTAACAGAAATGGAAATATCTTGGTAAAAAAGGAAACTTATTAAGAATAATAATGGGATCAAATAAGTTTACTATTTTAAACGATTGTAACACAATCAGATGTCTTCATCCGGAAATATACATTATTTTTCAGTATAACAAAAGAGAAATGCCCCGCAAAAGTAAATTCTTTTAAAGCAAAATGTTCTTTAAAAACCAGAAACATCCATTAAATGAATCTTAATGGAGTTTTCCTCCATTAAATGAAATGCACAACGTATATGAAAGCGAACTGGTACATTTCCTTAAAGATTACCTATCATGTGTTTGAAAGGAACTGTTTACTTATATCTAATAACATTCTGATTACCTCGTCTACACTAGATATATAGTACAACAAGTAATAAGTGATGATAATCGATAAAACTATAGTATGTTTTCAGTCCTTACTACGGTGGGTAAAATAATAAACTTAACTACGCATTGAACTAAAATATTTATTTACTTAATAAAAAAATGGTTCCTGAGAATTTTTTTGATGAATAAGAACAATCATCATCTATCTTCATTATTACGTAAGCTATTAAATTTTGGACTGTTTTCTTAGAAAGCATTTTTAAATACATTTATCAGAAGTCAAATAAACTGTTTTTTCTTTCAAATATAAACAACTTCTGTTTACTATTTCACTAAATTGAAAGTAAAGAACACATGAAGAAAATTTACAGGTTGCTTTACTTTCCATAAAACATCATCAGTGGAAGACATCTTTATCAATAAGAACAACAAAAAAGAGTGGAAATCAAAGTAATGCAAACATCATAACTGATTAGGCTATTATATTATTTTTAGCTACAATGATAAGAAAGATGCAAGCCTAAATTCGTAAAAGTAATGATAAAAAGGGAAGAAATGAATAATGTGATAAAAGAAATAATCTTTCATACATGATAAGATGCTAATCGAACAAAATCATATACTAATGTAAGGAAAATATTTAAAAATTCAAGAGGAAATGTTTCACCAGAACAAAAATGGAACCATTCTATATATGTACTTGTTAAAAGTAAAACATAATATCCCATTAAACTAATTTCAACAATATACATATATATATAATCAAATACAAAGTAGGTATTCATAAAAACATGAAAGTACATTAAAGTGAAATAAACAGCTAAATTTAAAATCGTAAACTGCAAAAATAAGCATTTCAAAATTACATAGAAGAATATGAAAACCAAAATGGTGAGAATGTCATAAATCATAAAAATAGTATGATTCATTAATTTTATTGAAATAATTTGAAGATATACTTGGTCTAATATATCCACAAGATTATCGATGAAAAGTAACCACAAAATCGAAAACAAACAATAATGGGCAGAAAAAAAAAGCAAAATGATTTAAGAATAATTTAAGGCAGAATAATTCAAAAATTCAGTTTATGGTATACCTCTTTTTAATCTATATAGATCAAGAGATATTGCAATCATTAGGAGTTATTACTGTTTGTTTATAAGACTGATGTGTCAAAACATATGAGCAGTAGTTAAAAATTTGGGTATTCAATGCGTAACAAAATGTTAGTAAGTATGCATGCATGCTCAGTCTGCATAACTTGTATGCCTACCCTCATGTATATTGCTGCTAATAGCTACTTAGTTACTATATACTAGTTTCTATTTTTTGATTTTTGATTCCAGAAGATTTTGTATTTTTTCAAATGAATCAGAACCCATATAATCCATTTGCCCACGTTCCCATGCCAATTGTCTTTCAGATTCATCACTGACTTGAGTTAAGCTTGAGGAAGATTGACTTATCTCAATCTGAGCCAATTTACCAACAAAATCACTCTGTTAATTTTTTTCCAGAAATATATAAAAAGACAACAGGTAAACCATTTCACTAATCTATAAAAAATAATAATTTATGTTAGGATAAGCTAATGACAGTTAAAATGTAATGGCAGAAACATAGGTAATCTAACGACTTCAGAACATCGAAAACATCCACAAAATAATTCTTACCTGCATCGTTGATAAAGCCTATGAAAAGTTAATTAGGACAAACAAATATCATTATACCGGTTGACTTTTGTAGAGGAAAACAATAAGGTACTTTCAAAAAAACCAGCTACATTCAAAATAACAAAAGAATATCCGTGTAAAACGTCTCCTTTCATCCAAAACTGTAAATAGTAACGTCAATGAAATATTAATGAAACAAATACGCTTTCAGAAGCCCAGGGAGGTACGCATGAGATAGATATGGTTAGGAGTCTCCAAAATAAAACCTTGGTAATAAAATGAGTTTTATTATTATTAAAGTTGGGAACACAACGAACGTGATAAATTTAATTTTAAAACAATACTGTGTGGACAAGATATCTTAACAACAAGGAGAGATATAGACTTATTTCGTGTCAGTTTAGAAATAATGGTAAGACATGTTTCCTTTATCCGATACAAAGCTCTTGATTTTAAAACTTCACGACGATAAAGTTACAGTTGATGGCTTGCAGCATAGTAAAGCTGATCCCTCTATAAATACGTTTGACCTCACAAGCCAATAAAATTTAAGCGACGGTGCTTACGTAACCTCTGATGAAATTATTATTACTAGGGTCTGCTGTTTTGACAATGAATGATAACTCCAATTAACTGTTCAGTACTCTTGTGTGGTAACTAGCATTCAGCTAGTATTATTTGGTGACAAAGATAAAGGTTATTATGTACAACAAGTGAGTGCAATTAATTATGCTCAACTCAATTTAAAAATTATTATTGATGGATTTTGAATGAATTTGTAACAGTATCAAGTGAATGTATTACCTACGACAGGAAAAGAGCTCACCATGTTATATGACCCTATTAATTCCAAACATCTACTAGCTACTGAACTATTTAGAATAGAAACTTAATATATAGAAAGATCCTATTTGGATCTGAACTAATAAACTAAGTAAATAATACTATCAAATATCGTTTGTGATCTAACATTCCAGAGAACTTAGTTTTCCCTCCGTACAATTGATCCCCATAAACTTGTAACCAGTATAAATAAAAAGTATAAACTAATCATATGAAACATCCACATATATAATTTCTAGGCTCTTAATACGACAGACGTTAGTGCTTAACGTGGCAGGTAATAGATTACCATACTTAATTCAGGTGTTTTGATGAACACTCCCTTCTTTTTATAAAAGATAAAGAGAATTCGAACGGATTTGATGTTACGAAGCTAACCGGCCTGTCAGCGACAACCGAATACAAAATTGGAATTTTGACAGTACTCACTCAAGAAGCATGATTTTGAACATAGAGCTAATGACTTTACGGTAAATATGAAGTAAAACTACAAAACAGTTATCAGTCGCTATTTAACAGATAACAATTTAAAAAACTAAAATCTTTAATATTCCTTAAAGGTTTGGAGAGATTAAATTTTCGAGAAGATGCGACTACCTTTGTTTTGTAGAACCATTCTGTTTGATAAATGATGCAAGTGAAATTCCGAATTGTTATGTTTGGTTTAATAATGGTGTACTGAGGGGTGTATTCATGAGTAATTCACTTACCTCGCCAGGAGTTAGTTTTGGATGAACGTGGGTCATAAATAAATTCCACCAGTGTTGCAAAAATTCAGGAGTTCCAACACTTGTGAGATCATGAACAATGACTTGTCCAAATTTGTCCAGTCCACAGTGCCAAGGTTTCTCTGACCCAATAAAATGAACAACACGAATTTTATTACGAAAATGAATAAAGGCTGGTGGGTAAGAGTAAAAGGCTTGGCTGATGACATTGTAAATGAATGGTAAATGAAGACGAATATCTTTGGTCGCCCAATCGGAGAAGAAGATATTCAGCAGACCCTGAAGATAATAAAATGGGAAAAAGGTTAAAGTGTTTTGAAAAATTGTGAAGCATGACTAATTTTTTATAAACCGCACGCACATTTTCAATCCAACATTAAATACTACATTTTCAAATTAAAAACAGGCGTAATGTCTAAATCATTCCCATGTCTCCTTAATATAAAGTGGCAGTAAAACAAAACATTAAAAACTCTTAAAATAAGGTATTCCATCACCTTAATATTAGCTCAAATAAGCAATTACATTGCATACTACTGTCAAATCAAATACAAATAATTCTCTGTAACTTTCCGAAATTGAAATTCTACGGTCTAGATTCACAGAAAAGAAACGAGTAGACAGACAGCTATTGTGGACACAAAATGGCCCAGTTTTAGCAGTTAAATAGAATAGAATAACAACCCCTAAATCCGAATAAGTCTTGTAAAAAGGATTATATTACGGAATCCATAAATTATGTTGCAACTATATTATTCATTATATATTAACAAACTACATAACAGACTAATCATCTGCACTTAGCAATCCACACCTAACTTCAGTGTTACCCATTCGGTAATATCATCATCGGTACATTAGTCGGTCATAAATAACGTAGAACCTGGAGTACATATCCATCGATTAAAGTTGGCACAACACACCAGTACAGTGGAAAGTCAAAAGAGTAGAATTCGTAACAGTATCAATATACTCTAATCCTGTAGAAACGTTTAAGCAAATAAAATCAGTCCAACGCACAAAACTGAATAATACGTATTCGAATTTGAGGAAACTTGACTACCAATGTAATACAAAAACAACTTTGTATTTGTGCTCTCCTGTGTCGAAACAATAAGAAATCCCTAAGTTGGATCATTCGGTCGTGAGATTTTCATTGGTATTCTGAACAACATCATTAGTACAAACTTGAGGTGGAAGTGAAGGATTCGCATTTCTCCACATACGACTCAGCTTGTCTCGTCGACCTCGATCAGTTATTATCAACCTTTGATCTGTTGTTATCTGCCTCTTTATTTTGACTCTGATTCTTGGTCCTATATTTGTCCATGATTTTTCTGACCCACATGATCCACAAATCTTCTCCATCATTTTAAAATCATATGAGCAAACACGCTTTTCGTTGTTCGAAAATGGGAACTTTTCTCCAAAAGACAGGCTTACACTCGAAAACAATTTTACTTTATCCAAGAATGTCTTCATCCGCATTTTTTGCCAACAAATCTAAGATACGAACCACCAATCAACTGACCAATAAGACAAAGAATAGCTAATAAAAATGGAAGGCAAATGGTACATCTTATGATAACTGTTGCACACTACAGAATTCACAAATACCAACACATCATGGATGAACAAAGAAGGAAGTCAGAGGGAATACTTACATCAAAACATTTGACAGTCTTGACAACGGCGATCGAGATATCAAGTAGACGACACAGTGAATAAAGAAGAGAAACTCTTAAAGGAAAATTTATCAAGATTTGAAAGTCACCCACAGACGAAAACACAAACCATTACGTGGCCAACCTATCAAAACAACCTCTGAAGACCATAGAAGAACACCTCCGAAAAGGGTTACATTACAACACAAGTAACGCCTCAGAACTAGAATTACCACTCAAAACTGACGGAATAAATGAAGAAACTCAACAGGATGTAAGCCAACCTATAGTACTGCCAACTCGACAAAAGAAAGACAATACGTAACTGACCGCACAATAACAAAAAGCCATAAAGAAACTCAGAACTAGAAAATATACTGTCATAATTCTAGTAGACAAAAGACGCACTACAAGGAAAATTATACCAATAAAGCCGAGGAACTACGTGAGAATAAAAGCATATATAAAACAACGGACATAAGCAAATACCAAGGACCTTAAACAAACTTATCAAAGCAAGATCAATGAAAAGTGAAATCTAGTAAACCAGTACTTCTTGGACCCTACGGTAGCCCGAAAATACACAAAACAAACATCCCACTAGGTTTAATTGTATCACTCCCCGGAACCTCAACATACAATGTATCGAGAGGAATTTCAAGAATATTTAAACATTAGGTGGATCCATCCAATAACTCCATCAAACCTAAGGAGATTCAGATCAACAACGACAAACATGATATCTTTCGAAGTACCAGCCTTATTCACCTGAACTGAATCAAGTTCAGCAAAAGAAACTTTATCCCTGCTCCTCGCCAGTGATACAAATCTCCCAGAGTACATGAGGCTTCAAAGTCTACTACAACTCATCTATTAATGCCTAATAATATATTTTTGACTCAACTATAAAATCTAAAAATAAACAAAAGGAACACCGATGGAACCATCAATATCAGGACTTACCGCAGAAGTAGTGATACGGAGACTGAAAGCTTCGATTTTGCCAACTTTCAAGTCAGAAATGTAGATTCGTTATGTGGACGACAAATTCATCAACATCGAAAGGCAAGAGATGAAGAACACCTACAATCTGATCAGCAACATCTGCGATGACATAAAATTTACAACAGAAAAGGAGTCGAATAACAAAATATCCTTCTTGGATGTACTGATCACCAGAACCAATACAGGGAGGCTGGGAACTCAAGTATATCGAAAGCCGACGCACACAGACCGAATTCTCAACTACGGCGGCAACAACTCAAGAACTCACAAAATCAACTGCATACAAACTTTAATCAAGAGGGGGGGGGGTAAACACACTGCAGAGCGAAGAAATGAAGAAAAATGTCTGGTGAATATCCTTCAAAAGAACTGCTCTCTGCACAAATTCATAGACAAACGTCAATCCAACTCATCTGCAGAAACTAAATCGAGTACAGAAACTAGCGAACGGACCATCCCACTGCACGTAAAAAACATATCAAAAATTACTACGTGACTATTGAAGGCGTTTAGAAAAGGTGTATGGCACAACCAGCAGAACCACTTCGATCAATCCTATCCAAACCAAAAGACGAAATGACAAAAGAAGAAAACTGAACATCACCTACAAAATAAACTGTTCTGGTTGCAAAATATACTGCATCATATAAAGTGGACGCGTCCTCCATCTCCTGTACGAACATCAATTGGCGGTAAAACGACATAATATATCTCCGGTTATATCAATCCATGTGGACAACTGTGAACACATTTGACTGGACGAATGTTGAAATTCTGGATAGATGGAATACCTAGAACACCATGGAATCTTTAGAAGCTTGGTGCTCAAGTCAGTTGGCAATCAACGAACACATTTAAATCTGTTCAGTCCATCAACCAATCGGAAAACTCGTGAACAAATATACGACTGAGGATCAGATTAAGAGGAGATAGAGAGGCAGATAACAACAGGTTGAAGGTCGACAATAACTTATCGATGTCGACAAAAAAACTGAGTCATATGTGGAGAAATGCGAATCCTTCACTTCTACCTCAAGTTTGTGCTGATGATATAGTTCAGAAAAACAATCAAAGCTCCACGGCCAAACTATCCAGCTCAGAGAACGAAACTCCACCAAAAGCATACATCTAAGCAGTGAATTTCTCCCCACGATCACAGTTAAAATATTAGGACTTACTTGATCTCCCCCATCAAAGCTTCCACGGCTAACAGCGAAAATTAGTAACTTGTTGTATGTTTCCAATGACGGCTTGAAGACAAAAACTCCTGAATTAAAACAGTCTGGCCAACCTGGATCTGGAGCAGCACTGAGTTCCTCCCGCTCAAACAAGTCATCAATGTTTTTTAATACCTAATACGAAACATAAAAACGGGAAACAGGCATTCATTTTAGCGTCTTATTTCTTAAAACAGACAAACACAAAGATGGACTACACCAGTTAAATTACATGATGTTTTTAATGCAGAACGATCAGTGAATAATAAAATACAAATTAATATAATGTGGTAATTCGGGAAATCTATGAATAAGCACAGATTACAATTTAATAAGACATGAGGAATTCTGAATAAAGTAGATCCAAAGTCTATAGTTTGATGCAAATGCAATACGAACTACTATAAATGGGAAAAAGAATTTAAAGGTCTAGTAGTAAAATGTTTTTAGACCTTTGAACTTTCTTACTATCAAAGCATAAATTTGCAAGATATCGAGAAACAAGAATATAAACAAAATTTAAAAGTCAGCAAATATCATATTAGACAAGATAAAAAATGAACGAGGGAATTAAGCACGTATTTCAAGAAGGTAACAAGCTCCTATTTCGTAGACTTGAGTAACAAGGTGTTATCACACATATAAGTAAGTCCTCCTTCAGAGTAGGATTAACACAGTGACCATTGAATCAATTTATTCACACTAAATCATAAGCTTAGTGAGTCACCGGATGTGGTACAAAAATAGAATAGACTAAAAAGCCGTTCTTGTATAAAGGCAGCAAGATGCGTTTTCTATCACTCCCATCATAGATACTTAGTACTCAATATAAGAACATTGTATATTAAAAAGTAATAACTCAAAAACTTCATAATTAATCAGCTAAACAGTAACACCAAAACACAATTCACTTTCAGTGTACAAAGGTGATGCAATTATTAAGGTATGCGTTGTGTGAACCTATCATTACGCATTTAAAATGAGATTTACTGTAGGTTCGAGAACACGTCGGACGAATAAACTTCGAAGAAAACGAAATGAACATAAAAGGTTCCAATATAATGCGACATCATCGATTAGTACAGCAAACAAAAGATATCACACGTTTTAAGTCTGTTACACACCTACCTACAAATAACACTAAAACGCCAGATCAGATCAATAAGAGAGTTTAAGGCCGTTACGACTTGTAGCTGGAGAGTGAATCAACCAAAGTTGTTAATCAGTTCAAAAAACTCACAACCACTTACAATCATATAAAAAAGCATGACATTGGAGTATAACTTTGAGTAATGCCAGTTATTTTATTTAAACCCTAGTATATTTCCGTTCAAGTGAGTTGTATATTAAAAATTAATAGTAATTCAAACATAAGCAACCAACAACGTAAATTACCACAGTGTCAGCATCCATAAAAACAGCTTTTGTATACTGAATTAACCTCCAACAATGAAGCTTTGTAAAGGTTACCCCTAAGTCTGGTCTCGAAAGTAATGCCAAGTTCGTTTCGTCTTTGCTATCAAGTACATCAACGAATTCTACATGGTCAAATACAGACCCAATAATATCTCTAAGAATAAAACAATGACATCAATTGTTTCATACAGCATTTGCTTCGAAACCTGCTTTGTTACCAAACAGACAACCTGTCTAGTCGTCTTTACTTCCCTCAATGAATACGCCCAAACAAGAGCACCACATGCGTATTCATCATTTGTTGCTAAAGTAACGAATGCTTCACACACTACAAATTAATAGCAAAACATTAGATACTTATTGTTACTTGGCAGGAATTTGAGGCCAAAGGGTATGAGTTGCAACTCCGTCTAAACAGCTGAAACTTGTAAAACTACTCGTACCCTACACGTCTTTTTATCATGTAAATAGGGTATTAAAACAAAAATAATCTGTCAAATATATAGTTAGGTAAGTAAAAACTTTCAACTACTGTTTTTTAGCATTCAATATAAGCAGGAATTTCAGTCAAAATAATACACTGCCTCTGGACGAATGCTTGATTTCAATATGTATGTGATACATTTACATTCATGGTTTTATTCTCGAGGTGAGTTCAAATTCAGCTTTGTGTATTGAGGATAGAAGGCCTACATCCTATGTTATTCATTTTCTGTTAAGCTTCATAGAGTGTTAAGTCTTTCCCCGAATGAGTTAATTGAGAGGGTGGACACTGCTTCTTCGAGCAACTGCTCCTAGAGTTAACGACGCAGCATGAATACTTGTATGTCACGGCTATTTTGGTCGTTCTTGGTTTTTCTACCTGCCTGATATGTCTTTCGAGATCTCTTGGTCTGAAAGGAAGAAATGGAGGATATGTCAACTTCAGAATCATTTCCTAGTATTCTACACATCAAAATCAGATTAACTCGATCTGAGATAGGACAGAGTAAATAGGTCTAGCTTTCCAAGCCGCTATTTGTATGGTAAACCCCGGAGTCCTGAAATTGTACGGGCAGCTGTCCTCTGTACTTCCTCCAGGTTATTCAAGCCACCTTTTGAGCAGCGGATTGCAATGGGAACTCAGTTTTCAAGTCTAGTTCTCACCAAGGTTGTGTATACTCTAGTAAACATGGCAGTATCTAACTTGATGAATGTTCTTCTTAAAGTCCATAGTGTTCGCAACCGCTCACCTACAACCTCCCGGCGGTGGGCTGTGGTCTTAAGATCATGACTCACCGTCACTCCAAGATCCTCATGAGACTGAACCAAGGGTACAGGCACTTACCTTATTCTATAGATATTAACCTTTGTATCTCTAAAGCGAATGTAGACACACTTGGTCGTGTTGATAGGCATCAGCCGCTTTTTGGACCATATAACCATAACATATAAGTCCAATCGAAGTGCACATACAACTGAGTCTCCTACTATTTCTAATCAGCTTTTTACATCATCAACGTGTAATACCACGTGCAATTCATCATATGCGTGGCCTAAACAGACTCCCATGAATATGAGAAACAAATAACCCCTCCACAGACCGAGAAGACTGAGGATAGGAACTTAAACAGTCGCTTGATTTATGTTAATAACAGAACTTTAGGCATGGACATTTAGGTGGATGTGAATGCTGCGCCTAGTTCCGTTTCTCAGAATAAAGCCGAATCCGGCTGGCCAGTTACACTTTAAGCCGTCAAAACCACCGAAAGCACGATATTTTGTCGGAAATCGGTAATGCTTATTTCGGGGATTTCTGTTGCTATTTCTCTGTCTGTTGACTGCAGCAGATTTAGACCTGAAAATACTGGGAATAGACATTTGGTAGAGATATGAACTTTTAGTTGATGCCAAGAAACGATGTATGACGCTTAACGAAACTTCGACATACATATAAGGCAGAACTCACACCACTTCTGTATATTCGGTAAAATCTTCTCTAGTAAATATGGCAAATTTCTAGGATATACTCGCGGAATTTCCAAACCTAACCCTCAACCTTCCAAAAATTCGCTAAATATAGGTCAAAAAAGAACGAAGAATCTTCAACTGAGGGGAGTAGGGAGTGCAGGCTACCTCCGTGGAGTGAATCATTTGCCTGGATTCTCCCGCGAAGAGAATAAAACAGTGAGAAAATTAGAATAAATCATCGAACAAAATATCTGCAGATACCTACTATAAACTCAACCAATGAACTCTCGAAATATAAACGAATTCTGAAAAGGATTTAGGCAATTTTGACTAGTTCAATAGATAATCTATTATGTTTAAGATGTTTTACAACGAGTAACATCTTATATTTATTTAGACTAGTAACGTGTAATATACCTTAAAAACCTCACCCCCCAAACTCCTCAAAATATGATGGATTCATTGACTTTGTAGAATTATAATGTACTTCGTTATTAGTACCATAATAATAGAACTTATTCTCAAATTGTAGTTGTGTCATGATGTGAAAACCCATCATCACATCATTGTCTATTTTGACTCGTCGTGTTGTAACAATCCGTAATATCACGTTTGGCGTTTGCAAAGAAAACACTGAAGTTAGAGATAGAATAATATATTTAATGTGAGTAAAGACAAGTTGTACAGTACGACCATGTCATGCTTGACATTTCACAACATCGATCACAAAATAGCCTCCTTCACTCTACCGATTCATGCCAAGTGCAAGCAATAAATACACGTTTTCAAAATGGAAACTATGCACACACTGACTGGGAAAACTTACAATCTCTAATAAAACGCTCTGACTGGAGCAGTTACTTTACCAGTGATAAGTCCTCAAAAACACCCGGAATATACAACATCACAAATAGATCCGCACTAGACGATACTATGGCCTCCAGAATGGCTTTTAAAACAATAACTCCTTATATCAACTGAAAGTCTAGGTCTAAGCTGAGAAAACTAAAAAAGATGTACTATATATCAAAAGACTTCAGTGACCTAAATTATATCTACTATGTAATTGGAGGAGTGCGAAGTCGCCACAACAAACAAAAACAGGCAGAAGCACGTACTGCGTTTCATTACCACATCTTAAGCCCAAAATTTATGTCGTCTCTTTGAAAAATGCATAGGAAAGGACGCGGATTACAACGTTCGCTCCATATTGTACGACGGTATGACGTGTTATAACCAAACTGCATTATGTGAACTGCTAAGTGAATGATTCTCCCAAAATGGTAACACGTTTTGTGCCCCAGATATTAACATCAAGTGCATCAGCGAAAATGATTTTAGTGCCATTAACTTCTATCTTGGTAGTATACACGCCGCCATGAAAACACTTTAGCCTAATGGGAGTTCTGGTGTTGATGACATCACATGAGTTCTTTACAGAGTGGCAGGATCCGAAATACTGACAATATCACTCGTAATATTCATTCTATTCTGAGAGACAGGTACATATCCCGAGACCTGAAATGTAACGTATGGTGTTCTGAAACACGAATCGGCACCGAAAATCCTGACCCAGAACTACAGATCTATGAAATCACTCCAATCTTATCACACCTAATGTATAAAGTGATAAAAGATCAATTATACAACTACATAGCTAGAGAAAGTCTGATCAACCCGTCGGAACACGGCGTTCATTAGAACAAGGTCCTGCAGTACATGTCTGATGGACTTCTTAAACGAGGTTACTCAGATACGTGACCAAGAGAAACTAGTGGTTAAACTGTATTTCTATATAAAGGAAGCTTTTTATAAGGTACCTCATAACCTCCTAGTCAACAAACGTCAGTCAGTCTAAATTAATAATCCTCAATGAATAGAGACCAAATAAACAAAATCAACTCTACAACATCTGTACCGCGACCAATAACCACTGATGTTGTGCAGGTTAGTGTCTTAGGTCCACTACTTTTTGCAGTCTGCATCAACAATATATGCAGATGCTTCAACATAGGCAAGACCTACCATTACACTGATGACTTTGAAGTTATCTATAAAACGAACACTTGTAATGTACGTAGTACTATGCAAACAATCCAACATGAACGCAACAAGGTAGATAACTGGTGTAAGCGTTGATACTTAGAACTCAATACAGAGAAATTCGGTTAGCTGTGTATTGGAGACATGCCACTTAAAATGAAAATAAAACTTAACTAGGACGTTTAACCTGGACCCATACCAGCGACAGACCTCGGGGTACAGTAGTCGCACAGTCTTAACTTCTCTGAACATATATCCATCAAAGCACCTAAAATGTGGAAATCACAATGCCTCGTCATTCGTAACTTCTTTCAAAATAGATCTAAGATCATTCTCTACAAGATATTTGTAAGACCTATCGTTGAATACTGTTAGTTCTTATTTTCCAACTTACTCTCATTCTACATATTTAAGTTGGAAGAAATATAGTGGGGCGTCACTTAAAAAGTGCTCAAAACAGGTTCATTAACTGACTATAGTTCCCAATGTCATATCCTAAGACTTGAACACCTCAGGAAAATAAGACTTAGGTCCAATTTGATTCTATACTCCAAATTCATTAAAAATCTTACTCCTCATGTAATATAGTTCTTGCTCAGGGCCCACATATGTGCGACCCTGAAGATAAAGTATCTATGGTCAAATTCGAAAAATATGGATCAACTATTTGCAACAGTCTTCCCTCCAAAATAGGCATGGCAGATGGATTACATACGTTTGTAAGACTTCTTGATCAATCCTCGACTTGCACTGATCTACCACGCACGAGCATATCTGCGTCCCACTCAGACACCATAGGCCCTCTGCATGTATGGACCGTATCACACTCTAGGCTTGGTTTCCTTCACTTTTCTTCATTGCAGTCGTATAAGATATGTCCTCTTCCTTAATTTTTACTTGAAATATACAGGTAACTCACTGGACCTATCGATACTGCTCAACTAAACTCGGTCGTTAAGGGACGCTCAATACCAACCTGAAAAGTCAAGAGAATAGTACTATCGACCGCCTACTACCATTGGTCTTGCACCATCAACCGGTGAGGATTGCACAAAATAATATCAGCACCAGGTTAATGTGAGTTCCTTCTTGTCTACTCCTCCTCGGCTTTTTACTCTCCTGTACATTATGTTGACTTGCCAATAATTTTATTTCACTGCTCGTTACCTTATCCAGAACTGAAACATACACGGTCGATGGGAAACACTGAACCTATAATCCATGCTAAGTGGCACTCGTCAGCAAGGTTATCCAGAGTTTGTGCAATTCAGTCAGCATTAGTAAGAACTTGACATACATAACACTGTGCACTTCTGACTGGTCAACCGACTGTAAATAAATTTTAGTCTGATAGGAGATTGTTCATCCTTCAGACAACCCAGTGACAACGTTCCTGACTATGAAACTAGTTTACACAAACTGGAATTCGTCAAGGACCACCAGGTTCCTCAATACCACAGCTATACTGATAAGTCGTGCTTATTGAACGCTATTCTCGGATCCAAAGCTAGTCTCGTAACCCCCAAGCTTAATCTACACAGCGACTTGAACACGAGAGGAAAGGCGCAAAATATGCGAGAAGCAGTTTACCCCAAAGGTTCATTTATGTACAGAAAATGTACAGTTTCTTAGAAGTCCTTGGGTCTATCTGAAAATTCTAGGATACTACTAAACATAGTACCAGTGTAGTAGTCAGCCAATCTAAAACCCCACATATGACTTTTCACTTTCTTGATGTTTCCAGCAAAACTTCCAGTCAACGCTAATTGGATAAAATGCTCCTTAATGTTTCCTGAATGTTTCTTGTCAACTGAGAGAAATTTTCTGGATCACCCCAACACATACCTTGTTGACGAGTGTTAAGTAGCATGACATCTAGGTTTAGGGTGTCCTGTCCACTACTTACACTTACCACCTAAGGTGTAATTCTGGCGAGATAATACACTCTCTTATCTGTCCCTTGAGGGAGAGCAATAAACTGTAAATGTTTGTGGAATCTGATTTTCCACTGATGTTTATGAGGTTTAAATTTTGTATAAGGAGAAAGATTAAGAATGGCAGGTATAGATTTTGCCCTCTGAAATGCTGTGATCATATTGGTGTCATCTGAGTTTCGAAATAACACGTAATATTCATGTACCAATTCAATTCACACAGCTATAAGTACGTATACGAGCAGTTACTGCAATGAAATGTGTGTAAAATTAACTGAGTGCCTATAGGAATTCATACACAAGAGCTATCCAGTCTAGACGGACAGATTCACTACTTCCACGCATTATGATCACATAGACTGAATAGATAAACCCAGATAGTCATAAATATAAGGAATTACTAAACTTTGATGTATGTAATTGCTTATTTAGTATCAACGTGTATAACCTGAAGGATGTAGGAGCAGCTTTTATGTCAAGTCCTTATAGGTTATTCTAGCCTCTGGACAGACCGATTTATTCATCTTTCTCAAGCTAAATTTTTACCTTGTCACTTGCTTGCTTATTACCCTGACTGTTTTTGATATGGTCGTTTGGATGTTAATTACTTACCCTATTCATTAAGTGTCTGTAACTTATTTTTGTTTTGACTATAAACATCGACTAACGCTTGGATAAATGGAGTTGGCTCACTCGCCTTCTCAATTATGTTTCGACAGCAATAATCGTTCGATCTAATTGGAGTCAGATACAGAGCCACTCAAAGGGTAACAATTTATACAAAAATCGCCGGAAATACGCATTTATTATTCAACGAAAGAAACAAAAAGACTGAATTTTTTATACCTTTGACTTAAAAGTGGTCGGATTGTCGAAAAGTCTAGTAACAAATAGATTTGTTTTAACTTGTGACAGAAAAATTAGTCATAGTAACCCTGGATGACAATTTCAAAAGTTATCAAATGAGCATTGTTAATACAGAAGGTACACAACCCATATCAATAACCTACTTCTTTACTTAAGATACTCCAGCAGTCTTGGTTATTTTTCAGTTCGACAAGGAATTATGTAAGACATTCAACAACAGTGTAGTTCGTCAGAAAAGTGTAATGAAAAGCTATGGGAACGGTCAGTTTGTTGGTTTCGCTGAAGAAGTAAGTATAATCTAACTTACTTAATTTCATGCATAGATTTTTGACGAACCATTTATTTAAAAATCGTCTGAAAGCCTTATAAATATAGTCTTGGTTTTTCTTCAGTACTCAAGAAGAACTCGGGAAAATAAAGTCGGATTTAAAAGTAAATGTCAGTAAATTTCTAGCGCGTATTACTAACAGAGTATATCCGTCTTTCAAAATTTATCCTGAAATATTTTATCCTAAAAGCTAACCAATATAAATTAACCTTTCACTAGATAATATCCATATTTAATATACACCTATAACATTTTTCTACATGATTGACTTGCACTTAACAATTTTTACACCAGATTCAACCTTTACGGAAATTTTTAAGTCGTTTATTTTCCTAAAAGCATCCCACTTAAGAAATAACATGATGACTGCTAACCTATCTAATTTATTAACCATTTACTTCAAATGGCTCTTGACGTAATAGAACCTCCCACATAACTTGCTTTCCAATCTGGATGCAGTGGATCACTGATTCCTCTAGTGAGAGACTTAGGTGTATTTAACGATAAAAGAGAAAAAATTGGAAAATCGTAGCGGGATACCGTCCCTAATCCTTAAACAATATCAATCTTCCTTTTGAAGGACTCCTGGGAAGTCGCTTGGACTTGCTCAGCCGCCAGCAAATTCCAGAATTTGACTACTCACAAATAGTGGAAGGAGTGCCTACAATTCATCCTGCTATATTGAGCCCCCGATTTCTGAGTGTTACCCCCAATCTTTGTGCTGCGACTGAGCTCAAGCAGGAATCCAAGGAGATGCCTAGGAGTGTTTAGAATTCCATAAGTCATTAGGTCATCTCAGATGCCTATGCTCTAATTGACAGAAATTCAGTGATTTGAGGGGTTCTTCATAAACTTTGAATTTGATTCCCGAACTGGCTCACGTTTGAATACGCCTCAATGTATTCTTATCCTTTTGGATCGAGGGAGGAAGCACTATAATTCCATATTTTAAATGGGTTAGAATAAGGTCACTAAAAATTAAGTTTTACTGTCACACTGGCTAAGATCACACTTCAGTGCTACCAGTACAAGGTTTTCTCGAAAGGGGTTTTTGTTGCAGTCAGCGTAATACTTCAGATCACAGGGAACCAAGACTTCTAGATATTTTTAACTTGGGATATCTCTAGGAAGAGAGGAGTTACCTAATTCGTATTCGTAGTCTGTAACATATCTTAGATGGACTACTTTGCACTTTGACCTTAAAGAATCGGTTATTTAGATATGAAGTAAGCCAGCCAATTAACGATGACGTCATAACCAAGTGGTCGAGATTATTGTTTAGACGTATATGACTGATTCGATCAAAAGCTTCTGAGGACTCATAGCATATTACGTCAACCTGCCTCTTGTGATTAAGGATGGGTGTCCATCTACCTACCACGGTTAGCAGGTTGATTATACGAGAGTGAACCTTCCCAATATCATGCCGTTGGGGTGAAAAGTTTATGGATATTAGGTAGTCACATATACCATCGGAAATCAGTGACTCCATAATTTTTGATAGTATTAAGAGAAGTGTTCTCAGCCGTTCACTTGGGATTTAGAAGTGAGGCATAAATATATAATTACTGATTAAGCGTCAATGTATAAAATCATAAAGTGTAAGGACTATATTGCGTGTCAGAATATATAGTGTATTTACTGATAACTTACTGTTACACCTAACAGACTAGTATAAGCCTAGTACAACGTAAATCTTGTGTGGTAAATCAAATGAAATTGCGTTATAACTATATTGTGAAATCAACCTTACGAGTTCCATTGTCCATGACGTTTTTCCCTTCTAAAACTCTCATTAGGGCGGTATCCAATGTCTCTTTCAGATCCTTCGCCTGAAAACTTCTGCTTAGGAATTTTGACAGTTATAGATCTGAAGTACTGTCTAATAAACCAGCATTTTTATTTACCATCTCATAGGATTAATATCACCTGACGTTTCACTTCAATGTTGTTTTGTGTAACATAAGATCCATAACTCACCTAAAAAATATTGTAAGTGTAATTACGGGTTTATACAATTTCTTTCGTCTTCGTGTATTTATTTATTTAAATTTCTCATCTTCATTGGTAATCAGATTTATAAGGACCCATATGCTTGTCCTGTAACTTAAAGCTTTCTAATGGTGTCAAAGCAACTAAACCTACTAAATATGTGCCTGAAGTTTTTCAATCAAACCTTTAGTTTTTACAGAGTAAAGTCGATTCAATTGAACCCGCTAATACTTTATTATTGATAAAATTACTGATAAGATTGGTCTTAATGGTGAATGTATCGAATGAAATGAAAATCTCACCCCTAACTCAATATTGGTAGACGAATTGTCCGAATTTTCGGAATTCTGACGAAAAATTTCAAAAAATTTCGGACCAGTAACAATTCCCCCTTTTAATCTGAGGGTAACGTAAAAAGTAAAAGTGAGTGCTTAACTTAGGCTTGCACATGTAGCCGAGTTAAATAGGTGCTATTTGTCAATGAAAACAGTGGAATAAAACGATTACAAAAGATGTAATATAATACACGTTGGATGCTTCCACTTTGTATTTCTTTTACTGCAACAGACATTCTTAGGGTGCTAGTGCAAAGAAAGTTTAAAAAAACAGATATTTCACATGTATCTTGTTACATATACTATTTATTGTGTGCAACATTTTACTTTAAATCTACATGCGCAAGTGGGTTTTAATTACTTCTACCAAATTTGGCTGACATATACAAAATGACTAAATATTGTAAGAAACCAACGATTTAAGTGAACAGAAATATCGCTACTCAAAACTATTGATTACCTTCAAATAAACATTACTTTTAGGTTGTTTGTTTAGACGGTGACTGGAAACGCAATACAACAGTTGGCTTTCTACATTTTGATTCTGCTATGGCAGCTCAGAGATGGCTTATCAGTGATCCAATAGTTCGTCAGCACGACTGGTTGGATGATGCAGAAATATGGATTGTACCTTTGTGTACGGAAATTAGACGTGAGTATTCTAAGCTGATTCAATTAACCTACAAATCTGTTTCGTGTTTGGACACCGAAAAACCAGCCTTTATTGGGAGTAGATCAACTGAAATCTGAAATAGGCGTGATGGCCCAACTAAGCACAAGTTGGATTTAAAGTTGTATCGCTCTTAAAAGTGATACAAAGTGAAGCTGGATAAATGTCCAATTTTCATACCAGTAAGTCTGTAGGGCTGTTACGGTGACAGTTGAAAGTGAGGACATAAATCAGTTACAATGTATTGCCAGTCTTGAAATGCAAGCATAGTCCAAAACAAAGAATTAAATTAGAAAATACATCTATTTTGGAAATCAAATATTGTATATTTTACACATAACCTGAGAAACAGCATAATTTGAAGCATTTAGATTGTCAAGATATCATGCGTTATTGACATACATTTGAAGTAGATTAGACAGCTTCGACCAAAACACAAAAGCAAGATGATGAAAACTCATCAACATTCCTGACCTTTTGTAGATGCCTCAAAAGATACCGCAGAATAACACTACATAAACATATATGCACATTTAAATTACTACAAAAATTAAAATTATTTATTTCACATATTTTTACAGTATGGAATTATTTGCAATTGAGTTTATTTAACTCAATTAATGAAGACAACTTTAAGAACCAATATTTACCTAAATTTGAAGAATCAGTATCAAAATTTGGAGGAGTACCATTTATTAGTTCAACTCCCTATATTGAAGTACCTCGAGGACTAAAAGAAATTGACTATTTAATTATTACTGAATGGCCTGATGAGGATAGTTCTCTTAAATGGAACCGAAGTCGTAAGTCAAAGCACAAACTGTAAAGATCACTTCATTTATAAATGCAAACTAATATGAGAGTAGGTTTATTTCCAAAACGAAGTTTGATTTGCTTATAAAGTGTCAGGCTTAAAAGCAACCTGATTTTCATGGGTTCCGTATTCCTTAAATTTGCTTAAGGCCACAGGATCTTGTAGGTTTGAACAACGCACTCTTGGTAACTGGCTGTCATGAGGTTGCATTTCCCAGCACTTCTCCACTGCCTTGTGGATTGGACCTCAAGGTCGAAAGTTATAGGAGTGGTTTCCTAAGAAAGTGACCTGTTTCTGTCTGGACGTTCAAGTAGTGTCTCAGACTTCTCACAAATATAACAAATTTTTATGAAGAAACTGATCCACCTACTCTGTTTCACTACTAACTTGGAAGATAATTACTACCCATGTATTTTAAATGTTTCTATTCTACCAAACTCCACTTGTCTGTTTCCTTTTTTTTCTAACTTGGAAATAGAATGAGAGATAGGTTAAGTTGTCTTTGGAAATTCTTAAGATTAACGTCTGTTATCTATCAGAGCCCAGTAATCGAGACTCTAACACAGTATTGCACATCCGCTCTCCATCAATCGAAATACCTGTATCACGCGGATTTACCCATGGAACCTCTGGCATTGTCTGATTTGCTAGCATTAAGGCCCCATTAAACCCCAGGACAGAAGCAATTCAGTCCCCACGGGCTGTCGTTTACATGTTCTGTCAGATTGGAAAACTCCATCTAAGTAAATAAAAATTGACGTGGGAAATGATGGCTTTTCGTTAATGCTGTTTACGCCCTAACCACACTGCAACCAGAGTGCAATTAAATACGCGTTCTACAAACAGCTAAATGATTTCATCAAGAAAAGGCGTTTGATAGGCAGCTCAGTGCTAGTCGCATATCTGGGTATCATAATTGGGTGTCTGGAAACATGGAAGAGTAGTCTGAGCGGCTAATGCGAACCTGTATATTACATATCAGATAAGGATGTTCATCTCCTACAGCTTTATGAAAATGACAACCTCCTACCAGCAAAGACCATAAGTCGGCACAGCCATTGCCGGTGTGCTGTCTGGCATCCTCCTTCGACAAATCAAGCTTCGATTCGGATTGACCACACTGTGACCATCTACCCTGGCGTGTTTTTGTGCAGAATTTTCGCTCCTTTTGTAGCACTTATCTGGATTGATTATCCACCGGTTTATGCCAATCTTATCTTACGTTTCACCAGCCAACAAACTCACTGTCTTAAACAGATCGATGCCAGCAAATTGGCTCCAGACTCTGATGAAGCTAAATATCAAACGAAGCAAGATTCAAGGCTAGCAGCTATTAAACCAATGAAGTGTAAACGATCACTCAGTTCGTTTGTATGACACCATGAAAATAACGTAGGTCGCTTCCGATTGTGTATAACATTCCATGTAAAAGCGATGGGTCTCTACATGCTCCTTACACTTCCTAGGACCACATCGATCTACATCACATAGTCGCGAGTTCCACGATAGATGTAGATTGCTACTTAACGAAATTGCACAGTTTGTGTAAAGACCAAGAAACCTTGTGGTCAAGGTATTCTAATAAGTTGGTAGCAGGATCTGCATCTGGTAACTACCAGAAGCTATTAGAACTCATCCGAACCACTAACATCAAGAAGCCTGATGTGATAGAATCCATGAAGTTGATGGGACCAGTCAATAGCATCTGACAACGTCTTTGAGGACGAACAGAAGTCATCGAGGGACAGTCCAGCTGGTTCATTAACCCAAAGAAAATCAAACAGACTGTCTTCTTTCACCAGGCGAATGAAGACTGATCCATCTAAAGAGGAGAAAGTTCGTACGGAACTCCAACTCCTAAAGATCCACAAATCGTTAGGCCCAAACGAATTACCCATAGCTCTTCTTAGGCCTGTTGTTAGTGGGATATAGATTGGATAAAAGCATGTTTCATGCATGATGGTGTTGCTGCGCGCTGATTGGTTAATTATAAACCGATCAGTCCGGGCATATTATTGCAGAAAAATCTATAAGCTTCTTATGTATATACTATAAATATATGATCATTATTTAAACTATTGATTGCTGTTCACTTATCATTATTATTTTGAATACAATTTCATTCCTTTTTAACGTGTTCTGATTTTGGGGTCTTGTCGAGTGTCATCGTATAAGAATACTAAGCAATAGGAATAGCTGGGTTTATTAGCAAAAATACAATCATAACAGTGGCGACGAGGAAAAAGGAAAATTCATTCAAAATGCCTATATCAGATGACTAGCTCAACCGAATACTACAACAACAGCAAGCACAACTTGATGCACAAATGCGGTTGTTGGAGACTCTGATGCAACAGTTTAGCATCCAAAACTCGAGTTCACATGCTGTTTCAAGTATTTCTTGTGATGCAGTTGCTAGCAGCATCCCAGAATTCATCTATGATCCCGAAAGTGGAAATACTTTTCTCACGTGGTTCAAGCGTTGGGAAGATACATTTAGAATAGAATTCTGTCAACAAGATGACGCATAGAAGACTCGGTTGTTGATGCGTAAGTTGGGAAGCAATGAGCATGCACGTTATGCTGATCATATATTGCCAATGTTACCTCGAGAGCTCAGTTTCGAGGAGACAGTAACGCAGTTGTCAGAGATATTCGGCGAATCTTTCTCATTGTTTAGTGTTCGATATCAGTGTCTGAATTTGGTGAAACGTGATGCCGATGAATATGGTGCTCTAGCAGACGTCGTCAACAGAGAGTGTGAACGGTTCAAGTTACGCTCGTTGACAGAAGATCAATTTAAATGCCTTGTATTCATCAAAGCTCTGCAGTCACCACAAGATGCTGAAGTTAGAACCAGACTTCTAATTCGTTTGGATCAAGACCCAAACGTCACACTCAAGACATTGACAGATGAGTGTAAACGACTACAAAACATCAGACATGACAATCAGTTAATTGAACAGGTAAATTCTAATTTAACCTGTAGTAGTGTAAATGCTGTGACTAGGTTAAAAAGTCAGAAGCCCAATAAAACTCATAACAAACCAACGGATGCCTGTTGGTTATGCGGCGATTGGCATTATGTACGGTTCTGCCCATTTAAGAAGTATAAATGTCAGGTGTGCAACAGACGTGGTCATAAAGAAGGCCATTGTCCACCGAATCGTACGTCCCAGCCCAAGAAGTATAAACGTCCTCCACGTGTGGTGAAATCAGCTGAATCTAAATCACTTTCTCTGGTAGCAGCCTTTCAAACAGACTATGACATTCGGAGAAAGTATGTTACTATCCAGATTAATGGTATAGCGGTTCGTCTCCAAATTGACACAGCATCCGATATCACCCTAGTGTCTAGAGAAACGTTTAACCTGCTTGGGAAACCGCCAATGAAGCCATCCAAGAAAACGACTAAAAACGTATCTGGAGGCGTACTAAAACTAGCTGGCGAATTACAATGTGAATTTTCTTTCAATGGAAATAGCTGTAAAGGAGTATGCTATCTAACAGAACGATCGAACCTTGATCTACTTGGTCTAGATATGTTAGAAAAGCTTGGATTAATGGATATACCCATCAACAGCGTGTGTAACGTGTCGTGTCCATCATTAGACACCACTTCATAAGCAAAAAAGACAGGTAAAAAGGTTCCAGAAATACGGAGTGTAGCAGTAGCGGCAATTCGAAACACTCTAGTGTCGTCAGGTGAAGTCAGAAAAGACTTTTCAGCATTTTGTCAGCAGAACGGAATCAGACACATCAGAACACCTCCATTCCATCTGCAATCGAATGGTCAGGTGGAACGCTTTGTTGGTACGTTCAAAAACGCCACCGACGAGATCTTAGAGAGGTTCCTGTTTATCTACCGTTCTACGCCGAACCCTCAAACAACAAATGGGGTCTCTCCAGCGGAAGCGTTACTTTTCAGAAAAATAAGGACACGTTTCGATGTCATCCGTCCGACGCCAGCTCGTGAACCCCAACGAGACTTATCGATGGAAAAGCAGTTCAATCGACACCATGGGGCACAAAGACGATTGTTCACGGTGGGTCAAAAAGTACTTGCTATGGACTATCGTGGTAAACATCCTACGTGGACAGCTGGTCGGATCGTGAGAAAGAAAGGGAATGTAGTTTATGAGGTGTCAGTTGGCTCAGATTCTGGGTTCGAATCTCGCGAGAGCGGGTTCGTGGATGCGCACTGCTGAGGAGTCCCATAATAGGACGAAACAGCCGTCCAGTGTTTCCAGGTTTTCCTCGGTGGTCTAGCTTTAATTGACTCATGCTTTCAACTATTCTTATGTATATACTATAAATATATGAACGTTATTTAAACTAGTGATTGCTGTTCACTTATCATTATTATTTTTCAATACAATTCCATTCCTGTTCAAATTGTTCTGATTTTGGGGTCTTGTCGAGTGTCATCGTATAAGAATACTAAGCAATAGGAATAGCTGGGTTTATTAGCAAAATACAATTATAACAGATGGTTTATTTATTTGAAGACATAATGCTTCAGCGATGGTAGCTTTGCACTATGGTTGAAATACCCGAACCCTCCGAATTAAAGATGTTAGACGACTCTTTGTGTTTGATAATCGCTATCTCCGAAGAATCACTAACATTCAGTAGCAACACCGAGTTAGTAGTGCATAGGTTCGGCAACGCCTGTTTGCACTCGGTGACGATATCACCATCTCGAAATACCGGCTTTAGTGGCTTGGATACGTATTATGAACGCTATCCCGGCGGATTCGACATTGTACATTATTTGTCGACGTTGATACTGGTTGGGAAAAGCCGTGCTGTTTCTGAGATGGTGCCGTGGTATGGAAGCTGTAAATGACTAGTATGTCAGTCCTTCACGACTCTTGTTACGGTCCTAAAGATAATGTAACAGTAGTTTGAAACGTCATAAGAAATGGCCCACAATATTAGCTGTCCTGATGTAATTTTCCTTTGCTTTCTTCAGAAAGAGGAAAGGAGCTTTCCAACTGAGTAGATTCTTTACGATACAATTCTTTTAAATGAAATGTTCCTCCCGTTATATACTACACTTACTCACTTATTTTTACTCACTAATCATTTGTTATTTTATATTTAATTACCTTTGTCTGTCTTTTCGCATTTTCCATTTGTGTGGCGTATATTTATTTTAGTGCGTATTTGTACTAATATTTTTATGTTCAAATAAATAAATAGGTATCGAATGGTTGGAAAGACCCATATTTTTAAAACTATAATGGGCAGGCTGATTATATGAAGATTTATTTTCTTTCTTACAAACCAGGACGATTATTGAACACGAACAGTCTGATGAAAGTCGCCTTCACTTCTCATGTTTTGAGACTGCTAAGAGTTTCCAAACATCTACTTTCCTAGAGTGCCACGAAACCCGCTTCATTTCCGTAACCTTTTGGTTTAGTTTTTCCACAAACTTCACTGTGGTTTGTACAGTTGACTCCAGATCAAATAGGCTATCTAGTAATGTACATACTTTCCATGGTATCGATGTTATGCTGTGCTGAAATCATGAAGTCCCTACTTGGCTTTAACTCCTGAAGATGCATACTACTTGATTGGGGTCCGAGTGACTGATGTAACCAATAGTTGGAGACTCTGGGTGTCATGACTCAGAATCAATAACAATGGCGTAGATATATATAAACTTTATACCTTTCTTTCTATGAACTAATTCTTTCTTCTTGTGTTATATCCTTATACGCAATCTCTCCTTTATATATTACTACCATTGTAGTAACTAATTAAATGAATTTCGTGTTCATCTTGTTGTGCGAATGAGGTGTGGCAACTTGGACCGATGCATATTTGCCTGGTCCTACATTGTAGCTGACTGACTGGCTTTAACCCACCTATATGGGTTAATATTATAATACAGCTTCGTTCTTTATGTCTCATAGCTGGCATTGGAAGTCCACGGGGCAAGTGTTTTTAAGATGGACCAATTTTAACCCCCTCCTTCGGTCAGCACAAAGAACCATCATAGGATTCTGGTTACCTACACTCTGATAAGGTCGGAAATACAATTTCGTCCTTGGGTCCTGTTATAATTGTATTTTTGCGAATAAACCCAACTATTCCTATTGCTTAGTATTCTTATACGATGACACTCGACAAGACCCCAAAATCAGAACACGTTAAAAAGGAATGAAATTGTATTCAAAATAATAATGATAAGTGAACAGCAATCAATAGTTTAAATAATGTTCATATATTTATAGTATATACATAAGAAGCTTATAGATTTTTCTGCAATAATATGCCCGGGCTGATCGGTTTATAATTAACCAATCAGCGCGCAGCAACACCATCATGCATGAAACATGCTTTAATCCAATCTATGTCCCACTAACACCTCCCCCTTGAGCAGATTCGTAGGATCTGGTGCTAGGGTCCAACTGCAACCGAGTGACTGGCCTGCGCTTTCGATCTGTCTATCGTCTAGGCAATAAGGAAATTGTGTCACTCTTTACTTGCACAGAAACTGACTTGTCTGTTCCGGACGTTTTGATTTAAAACGTGTCTAGCAGAACATCAAGAGGTAATCTATGCTGCGTTTCGTTGTTGGAGATCGAGGTTGATTTCAGTTGGTTAGCATGACGCACCCAAACTTCTGAGCCAACTGACACCTCATAAACTACATTCCCTTTCTTTCTCACGATCCGACCAGCTGTCCACGTAGGATGTTTACCACGATAGTCCATAGCAAGTACTTTTTGACCCACCGTGAACAATCGTCTTTGTGCCCCATGGTGTCGATTGAACTGCTTTTCCATCGATAAGTCTCGTTGGGGTTCACGAGCTGGCGTCGGACGGATGACATCGAAACGTGTCCTTATTTTTCTGAAAAGTAACGCTTCCGCTGGAGAGACCCCATTTGTTGTTTGAGGGTTCGGCGTAGAACGGTAGATAAACAGGAACCTCTCTAAGATCTCGTCGGTGGCGTTTTTGAACGTACCAACAAAGCGTTCCACCTGACCATTCGATTGCAGATGGAATGGAGGTGTTCTGATGTGTCTGATTCCGTTCTGCTGACAAAATGCTGAAAAGTCTTTTCTGACTTCACCTGACGACACTAGAGTGTTTCGAATTGCCGCTACTGCTACACTCCGTATTTCTGGAACCTTTTTACCTGTCTTTTTTGCTTATGAAGTGGTGTCTAATGATGGACACGACACGTTACACACGCTGTTGATGGGTATATCCATTAATCCAAGCTTTTCTAACATATCTAGACCAAGTAGATCAAGGTTCGATCGTTCTGTTAGATAGCATACTCCTTTACAGCTATTTCCATTGAAAGAAAATTCACATTGTAATTCGCCAGCTAGTTTTAGTACGCCTCCAGATACGTTTTTAGTCGTTTTCTTGGATGGCTTCATTGGCGGTTTCCCAAGCAGGTTAAACGTTTCTCTAGACACTAGGGTGATATCGGATGCTGTGTCAATTTGGAGACGAACCGCTATACCATTAATCTGGATAGTAACATACTTTCTCCGAATGTCATAGTCTGTTTGAAAGGCTGCTACCAGAGAAAGTGATTTAGATTCAGCTGATTTCACCACACGTGGAGGACGTTTATACTTCTTGGGCTGGGACGTACGATTCGGTGGACAATGGCCTTCTTTATGACCACGTCTGTTGCACACCTGACATTTATACTTCTTAAATGGGCAGAACCGTACATAATGCCAATCGCCGCATAACCAACAGGCATCCGTTGGTTTGTTATGAGTTTTATTGGGCTTCTGACTTTTTAACCTAGTCACAGCATTTACACTACTACAGGTTAAATTAGAATTTACCTGTTCAATTAACTGATTGTCATGTCTGATGTTTTGTAGTCGTTTACACTCATCTGTCAATGTCTTGAGTGTGACGTTTGGGTCTTGATCCAAACGAATTAGAAGTCTGGTTCTAACTTCAGCATCTTGTGGTGACTGCAGAGCTTTGATGAATACAAGGCATTTAAATTGATCTTCTGTCAACGAGCGTAACTTGAACCGTTCACACTCTCTGTTGACGACGTCTGCTAGAGCACCATATTCATCGGCATCACGTTTCACCAAATTCAGACACTGATATCGAACACTAAACAATGAGAAAGATTCGCCGAATATCTCTGACAACTGCGTTACTGTCTCCTCGAAACTGAGCTCTCGAGGTAACATTGGCAATATATGATCAGCATAACGTGCATGCTCATTGCTTCCCAACTTACGCATCAACAACCGAGTCTTCTATGCGTCATCTTGTTGACAGAATTCTATTCTAAATGTATCTTCCCAACGCTTGAACCACGTGAGAAAAGTATTTCCACTTTCGGGATCATAGATGAATTCTGGGATGCTGCTAGCAACTGCATCACAAGAAATACTTGAAACAGCATGTGAACTCGAGTTTTGGATGCTAAACTGTTGCATCAGAGTCTCCAACAACCGCATTTGTGCATCAAGTTGTGCTTGCTGTTGTTGTAGTATTCGGTTGAGCTAGTCATCTGATATAGGCATTTTGAATGAATTTTCCTTTTTCCTCGTCGCCACTGTTATGATTGTATTTTTGCTAATAAACCCAGCTATTCCTATTGCTTAGTATTCTTATACGATGACACTCGACAAGACCCCAAAATCAGAACACGTTAAAAAGGAATGAAATTGTATTCAAAATAATAATGATAAGTGAACAGCAATCAATAGTTTAAATAATGATCATATATTTATAGTATATACATAAGAAGCTTATAGATTTTTCTGCAATAATATGCCCGGGCTGATTGGTTTATAATTAACCAATCAGCGCGCAGCAACACCATCATGCATAAAACATGCTTAATCCAATCTATATCCCACTAACAGGTCCGGAACTTGATTTTGATCGAACCTGTCGGGTATGCCAGAAACTCAAAGGACAAGTTTTCCATTCAATATAGCTTGGTTGATTCGTCCTTATATACAGACTCTTTCAATGTCAAGACGGCAATTAAGATCAAAATAAGTTTGTGCATGTACGGTAATGACTTATGTTATGTTCTAACGAATATGATAGATAAGATAATCGAAGCAGTGATCAATAAAAAAATCTTTAGACATAATCAAAACCGTGCTTCTAATAGCTTAGCACCAATAAAATATACAAATATGTTTAACTGAGTTTTGCATACATATACAGTGGTTTTAAAATAAAAGTGTGGTTCAATATTATTTAAGTAGATTAGAATGAGAAGGCAACTATTTGCAGTAATCCGAAAACGGCATATTTTATGAGAACATCATATCTTAATCAATATCTACAGTATAAGCTGCAGTGGTGTAATGCCTTTTAACTAACATTTATTTTGCAGCAAATAACCGATTTTATGCAGCCACATGGCAAGAAACTATAAAATACAACGCAATAAAACTGTTGTTCCAAAACACGAACAGCTCATAGTGAAGAAATGCCTAAGTGTTGAGATTCATGTAGATATTTGTTGAAATTAAAAAGGTTGCAAACACCAGTGGGTTTTATCGTCATAATAAACCCAAAAAATTTGAAATTACTTTGAGTAATTAGATAGATTTCATGTTTCAGCAATCATATCTTACCAAACTTTTATTCGAAATGAAAACCTTTATCACATAGACGAGAATAAAACAAATCACTTTACTAGTCATTCAAGTTAGCAAAAAATTTGCTGATTCATGAAACCATAGTTATTTTGCCTATTTTGTTTATACCAACAGATGAAGCAGAAGAACTAAGAAATATGCAGGACTCTTTTTCAAAGTCTTCGACAATATTGGCGATGATAAAACATAATTACTAATGGGTCCTTACTAATGGTTCATATATATATATATATACAATTATCAAAGCATAATTGTAAAATAAACAAATGTTTGCAACAATAGTAGCACCTGTAATTAAAAATAAAAACTTCAAAAACGATCAACTCGACTTCCAAGACCGTTAGTGTACTTTAGCAAATTACTAAGATGGAAAAAATTCAAGCTCTCATCAAACAGTGAACAAAGATAAGCAGTAGAAAGGTCTCTTATTTAACTAATAGACTGTCATAGTTTGAACACAAAGTTCCTCATTTGATATTTGTCTGTTAGTATCACACGTAAATAAATTTCAGAAGGACACTTCAGATGTATAACAATTAGAGACTTATTTTATCGAAAAAAAACAACAACAACGTCTATGGCATCAGTGATGAATGAAATGGGCTTTAAGTCGATAAGATTTTCACCCATTTTTAAATAAACTACACACATAATAAGATAGTCCCGACAGTACTGATGCGTGGTTTGCTCACCATTTGTGTTACTTTTTCCACATAGTGAACTACTAGAGGAAGATTACTCAAACAAGTCTTCTAGGGGTCGTTTATCTGTGAAGTCTGAAATATCGATGACCAATTGGTAACTGAATAACTACCCTTCCTCTACAGAAAATCCCTCAAGTACTTACTCGTTACAAACTGCCACTTGATGGTTAATCTGGAATATTGAAGCGTGCGACGAAACACTTAACATTCGTCAATTATTTATTCTTTGAATACATAAATATTGGTATAGAAGGGTGCCGAATACATATGCGCCACACAAATCACATGATTTGTGTGAGGGCTGGGATACTGCCCACGTGCCCAAACCAAAGCAGGCGGTTTTCTTAGGGGGCTACACCCCGAGCCTTTGACCCAAAGGTTTAATCCACAAGGCAGTGGAGCAGCGTCAAGAGATGCACTCCATGGTAGTCGTTGACCAACAATTGGTTCATACGCCATTTATCCCTTCAGGATCCTGGAGCCCATGTGCACCATTAGTTTGGAATCAGGGTTTTCTAACTTCCCTAGGTGGACCCTCTGCGTCAATAAAAATATGTCCTTAACAAAAATGTGACTGATGTTGCAGACAACTGTAAGTCTAACGCATTATAAGAAAAGGTCAAACAAATTACCTAATATACGCTTGTTTTCCGATACAAATCAAAAACATTAATAAACGATAACATAATATTACTGAAAATACGGGAACTGTATGTATTTAAAAAGAAAATATGTACATTAACTAATGGATTATCCCGTGAGCTTGGACAATATTTGATAGAATTAGCATTGATAGGCATTCTTATTAGACACTAAAAAACAAAAATAAAAATAAGAACATAGATAAGCAAGATGATTTCGAGTTTTTTCTTGTGAACATCTTATCTCTATATTTCTAACACAACTGACAGGACAAAATTAAAAAGTAAATGTCTACTGGAGAAAACATGTACCCTATATACCTTACATTTAGCCGATAGCTCCTCCTAAAATATTATATCAACAATTATTCAATCGAAGGATTTCTGCAGCTCTGAATAATGAATTTTAGTACAAGTATACGTTCTGATTGGCATATATCTAAAACGAGGACCCACTTACCTTGGCAAACACATTATAACAAAGACTTCTGGCAGGGTGGAGACGTATGTATATCCAAAGGTTCATCAATTGCTCTAGCCTTATATGAAATAGGTAACGGAAACGAACAACTTACTATAACTGATAAAGCATGCACACCAGACTGTAGTTCATGTTCAACTGACTTATACACTAAGCGTTCTCTCTATACTAATACATACTGATAGAATAAATCTTACCTGTACAGGAGAAAGATTATTAAAATGATGAGACACGATTACAACTCTAAAATGCGTCTCTATACCTACAAGCATTGATAAAATGTTAGAGTTTTATCAGAACTGATATGCCTATTTTCTGGTTATGACGGTGACTTTCGTTATATATTCTCAAAAAGGTCGGCTGAAGATAGAGTGAAAGTTGAAGAATTTACATCAAACTTCTGAGATAAAACCCGGTTTAATCGAGATTCTACTGGACCGGCACTTGAAGACATGTATCTTCGAGTGCTATTCGACAACGACAAAATTACTTTGTACAGCCCTGCAGAACTACCGAACAACATATTCACCTGTAGTCAGCTGCCTTTTTGGAGTAATGAAACAGTTATCGAGAACAATGCCGAAGTACGAAGAGAGGGGCTGAAATATAATAAGAATACATAGGCTTTTGAGATCCAAAAAGAAAATGTTTTATTAGGAGATAGATCAGATTTTTAACACTGAAAACAGTATGTGGTGTCTTTGGATTTATCTGAACACGCAAAATTACTAATCTAGACGAAAATATCCTATCTAAAATGTATTCGAGTAGTGGACATTCATTTACCTAAGCCTTTCTCAAAAGTAACACTAGTAAAGGAACATAAAATGCTTTATTTTAGCAAATACAGCTTTGTTTAAATAGAAATTAGTAATGGTTTAAATTTAACATCATTTACTGTAGTGTTACTGTGACATTTTTCATTTCGCACAAGAATTATAAAGCGATATTGTACAGAAAAATAAAACTTAAAAAAACTGGTAGCACGCTACAGAGAAGCGTCAAGGATATACTTCTAATACTCACGAAATATAAACTGGAAATTTCCTAATTTTGAAGGACGTCGAAACAAGCTATCCAAAAGGAGACAAATATGAAGGAAGCCTACAATAAAACTTCGGGGTGATTTAGGAGAAACTGGACCTTCAAGAAGCTTTCTCCTGATACCCAGGAAGAATTCTTTTCTGCTAACGTAACTATTTTTGAGCAGAACTCCCAAGTCTAACTTCCTCCAAAGTCCTTCAGCATGTACACTTTTTGTGAATGTAAAATAAATGCTTAAAACCTAATAAATCCACTTTCCCTCTGATACACTAAGTTTGAGGGAAAACCCATAGGATAACATCTATCAAATCCATACATTTGACGAAAGTTAGTCATGTTTAACCTGACATAAGTTTACATTTCTCATAACTTGATAGTTTCTCAAGAAACATAGACAACGTTAAGACGCAAATATCTAGAAACAATTTTTCAAACATTCTAAGGACTATACACAGTTTTCAAGTATCATTTAAACGAAAGTAGTTTAATTCGAGTGCCATGCTATCAAGCTAGAACCTGTCATAGTTTCGGCTGAATAATGTACTAAAAAGTAGAAAGGATTGTATTTATTAGTTATAGATATAAGAGAAGCGTTACCGTACATATCATACACACTATTTACACAATTTACTACCGATAAAACTATACAACTGGAAGGAAAATATGTATAGTAAATCGCTTACAACAAAGTGCACATAGTCATATATATTTAAAATGTCGCTGGTGGATTTCATGTTAACTACTTTGTCCCCCCCCCCCAGAGTTTATCAAGATAATTTTGCACATCGAGAAAAAAATGACTGAGTGACACAGTTTATCAATTTACCTAAGTCATTTTGTAGAAAATTCAAGGTCCGAAGACTAGACGATATAGTAGCTAACTGAACTTCATTACAACAATCCGGAATACTGCGCATTATGTTCAACATACATACTCAATCACAGCTAGTTATGTGTTCGTCCCTATAAGTATAAGTTTTGTGGATATCTATAGTTTCATGTTGTAAGCCTTCATGTCCTTCAAGTATTTGGGGGGGCTTCATTAATCATTCAGACGTTCTCCCTAGGAGTTTTACATGCCAATTCTCTAATAGATTCTATGAACAAGGAGCACTAGTGAAGAAACTAAGGCCACTCATCGTAGCTGTGATGGAAAAATGACTTCGACATTACTCCGGAATTATCCTGATACCATTACCTAAGAAGTGAAAGACATAGATATAGGAAAGGAGGTGGCGCCCTTTTATACATAGCCAGTAATATAGATACCGCTCCTCCGTTTGCGAATACCATGATAGTGGGAGTTGTGAAATCATAAGCTGTGAGCTCACTAAAAAATGTTGTACATTTATGCTCGGTGTCATCTATCGCAGCCCAATCTGTTTAGCTGATGACTTTATTTTAGAGCAAATTCAGCTATGGAGTGCAAACAACAGATGCTTGATATTAGTAGACTTTAATTCACCTGATATTAGTTGGGCTGAGATTACCACGGTAAGATCTATAAACTCATTTGATAGTAGGTTCTTGATAAATGTAATGGAGCATGTATTAGTACAGCATGTATGCCAACCCACACGTTTTGGTGTAAATCAAGGTTCGCCTTTGTTGGACTTGGTAATCACTCATGAGTTTGAGGTTATAGCCAACCTAAATATTCTATTCCGGCGTTATCAAAAAACGATCATGCTGCTTTGTTATTCACGTTTAGAGCTAGTGACATGATATACGATCACGTTAAATCCAGCCCAAATGTATGGAGAGCTAACATATCAGCCATTCAAAAGTGCGCTGCTAAGACAGATTGATCAGTAGATACTAGCTCATCAGTTGAAGCATGGTCTATATTTAAAGGTGAGTTTATTTCAGTTACGTCCTCGTTTATACCATACCTGGTACCACGTAGACCGAATAACAATCCACCATGGATAACCAAAAAAGTCAAGAAACTTCTTAGACATAGGAAAACCCGACCGTTACTCCTACCTTGACGTGGTGGTCGGGCTTGCCTATCGTGATGAACCAATCGAGCTATACTGGCTGGAACAATCGTTCCTCAAGGTCTTACCATGCCAGACAGGTCGGTTGAAGAGCGGTAAAACTAAAAGCAGCAATCCCAAGGTCCGAAGGCAAAGTCGTACTGCCGACTGTACAGAGGTGTGACGGCAGTAAGGGTTTTCCTTCAGACAACCAGCATAACAGCGATGTTGCCTCCACACAAAAAGCGGTGGGGTTAGAAAAGGTCAACCCTAAAAATGCACACCTCGCCTTATCCCACGGATTTTCGTCTCCGGTGGTAAGGTCCTTTGAAGAACGGAGCTAACATGTTAAAAATCCCCCCGAAAAAGGCCGTGCGTGACCAGCCTCAAGCAGTTGTCCCTTGGGCACTGCGGTCACGCTCCCAGGTCGTTAAGACCAACACTAATCCAACTTCTTTTTCAGGTCCCTCAAGAAATACCCTTCCACGGTGTGGGCAGCCGGAAAGTGATATTAGCCCTCATACCCGTAACAGCACACGAGACCAAGTTGGTCACTTTCAAATCCTCCCTACACCTGCTAATAACTCTCTTATCTCCGCGACTAACCCTTCTCACGTCCCTTTATCACCTCGCACCGCTAGGGCAAGCGATTAAAGTACACGGAACGTTATTCCTGGTCTCCTGAAACCACTTTCTAAACTACATGTAAAAGCCTATAACGTCTGGACACTGTGCCAAATGGGACAACAGGCTTCCTTAGCTAGGACTTTAGAATATTACACCATCGATGTGTGCTGAGTCTCTGAAACGCGCATACGAGATCTGAGTAGTGTCATTCATTTGACCTCACCATGTCATAATAAAGAACCAACCCGCTTCACGCTTCGTGTATCTGGAAGCCCTGATGCTGCTTCTCATGACCTCGCTGGAGTAGGTATAGCATTAAGTCCTAGGGCAGAACTAGCTCTTTTAGACTGGATCCCAGTAGACAGTCGTCTATGTGCAGTCCGACTAAACGGATCAGTAAGGACTCAGAAAGATAGGGAAACTCGTCGTTGCCTCTTCGTCGTCTCTGCCTACTCTCCCACTGACTGCAGCTCAGACGATATAAAAGATGAGTTCTACAGGAAACTTTCTGACCTTCTCCGAGAAGCTAGGCGTTCTGATGTAGTAATAGTGGCTGGTGACTTTAATGCTCAAGTAGGTAAACTAAGTGAAAGGGAAAGACACCTGGGTGGATCTTATGGTGTCGTGGCTAAAAGAACAGATAATGGCGACCGTCTGTTGCAGCTGTGCTCAGATAACCGCCTATTTCTTGCAAATACTAACTTTAAGCATAAGGAAAAACATCTTTTGACATGGCGACCACCGAATTCGTCCCAACGTTGGACCCAATTAGATCACATCGCTATCAGCCACCGATGGAGGGGCTCGATAGAAGACTGCCGAACATTCTGGGGCACATGTTAAGGCTCAGATCATGCTCTAGTGCGAGCACGTATCTGTCTGCGTCTTACTGGACGTAGAAAAGACACTGCAGGGAAGCCTCTAAGGGTTCTACTTAGTGATAAGCAAGCTAAGAATATATTTCAGGAACAACTGAAAAAACAGTTAAGCAGAAATGTAAGTTGTGCCCACCCCGAAGCAGCGTGGAATGACATCCGTAAAGCTGTGGAAACAGCAGTGATATCCGCTAGTAAGGTAAGTCATAAGGTCAGGGATAAACAATGGATCTCGGCAGCATCTAACGCATTGATAGATGCTCGAAAACTCATCCCACCTGGCTCTAAACATGACGAAGAGCGGAGTCAGCTTAAGCGAAGGCTAATAAAAAGCCTACGCAATGACCGTGAACAGTGGTGGGTAACGAAAGCAAGAAAGATGGAAAAGGCAGTGGCAATAGGCAACAGCAGACAGCTATTCAGACTTGTTAAAGAAACCGGTATTAGGAACCCAAGTATCAGTGAAACCATCTCAGATAAAGATGGGCATATCATTCATTCTCAATCCAAGAGATTGGATCGATGGGCAGAACACTTTATGAATCAGTTCAACTGGCCTTCAGCCACACTTCAGTTACCCACGATCCCCAGTCGTCCTGAATGGCAAATTGAGGTAAGTCCTCCAACTCTCTACGAGGTTGAAAAAGCTATAGGAAATCTGAAGCGAGGGAGAGCAGCAGGCCCTGACAGGTTTACTCCTGAGATTTTTAAGAATGATGGTCCAGTACTAGCAACGAGATTGACTGAGGTCTTAGGTAGAATCTGGGAACCAGAAATAATTCCATCCGACTGGTCCCAATCACTGATTGTGCCAGTCTATAAGAAATGACAAAAGTACTCTTGTGACAATCACAGAGGGATCAGTTTGACTAATATAGTGTCTAAAATATTAGCTTCAATAATACTTGGACGCCTAACGAAAGCTCGTGAAGAGCAGACTAGAGAAAACCAGGCTGGTTTCCGACCTGGACGTGGTTGCATAGACCAGATATTCACTCTACGTTAGGTCCTAGAACATAGACATACATTCAGACGTCCCACAATAATAGTATTTCTCGACCTTAAGGCGGCATTTGATTCCGTTGATCGTGAGGTTCTATGGCAGTGTTTGTCAGTGAAAGGAGTACCAAAGAAGCACATTAACCTCATAAAGGCTCTCTACTCGAACACAACTGGTCCAGTTAGAGCCTATGGCGAACCGTCATCAGAATTGGTTACCTCAAGTGGTGTTCGTCAGAGATGTCCACTCTCCCCATTCTTGTTTAGCTTTGTCGTTGACATACTTTTAAAGGTATCACTTTCATCATCTCAATCTTCAGGAGTTGAACTCTTACCGGGAGGCTCACTTGTTGACTTAGAATACACCGACGACATAGTTTTATTTGGTGAAGACGCTGACATGCAGAGTCTTCTGACCACTATAAGCAACAATGCAGGCATGTTCGGGATGCGATTCTCTCCCTCGAAATGCAAAATGTTACTTCAGGATTGGGTTGCATCGACACCTGAACTAATGATAGGGAGTGAAGTAGTTGAGCGTGTTGACAGCTTTACTTATCTTGGTAGTCTCATTAACCATTGTGGTCTGGTGTATGACGAAATCTCAGCACGAAAACAGAAGGCTCGTCTAGCTTTTGCCAACTTGCGTCATTTATGGCGTAGACGAGATATCCGTCTAGCAACAAAAGGACGGGTTTACTGTGCAGCAGTTCGCTCCGTCCTACTTTATGGTAGCGAAACATGGCCGATAAGAGTAGAGGATATTCGTAGACTACTAGTATTCCATCATAGGTGTCTTCGAAGCATTGCTCGTATATCCTGGGACCACCGGGTAAGTAATGCAGTTGTTAGGAAACGGGTACTAGGTAAGGATGGAAAATCGATTGATGAAGTAGTGAAACTTCATCAGTTGAGATGGTTGGGACACGTGTTACGTATGCCCAACCACCGACTGCCCCGACGTGCAATGTTTTATGGTGTAGGAGTAGGCTGTAAGAAAGCTAGGGGCGGCCAGACCAGAACGTTCATTTATTTTATTTTATCTAAACACATAAATATTGGTACAAAAAGCACCAGATAAATATGCGCCTAACAAATCTCATTTGATTTGTGTGAGGGCTGTGATACTGCCCACGTGCCCAGACTGAAGCAGGTGGTTTTCTTAGGGGGCCACACCCCGAGCCTTTTACCTAAAGGTCTGATCCACAAGGCAGTGGAGCATCGTAAGGAGATGCAGTCCCATGGTAGCCGGTGACCAACAATTGATTCATACGCCATTTGTTCCCTCAAGATATTGGAGCCCATGTGCACCATTGGTTTGGAATCAGGGTTTTCCAACTTCCCTAAATTGACCCTCCGTGTTCACCAACCCGGTTAAAGTGCCGGAAATTCGCTTTTCGTTCTTTCAATTTCGCAAAAAACACCCCCGCCACGAGAAAGCAGTGAGTAGGACTTCCCTGGCAGAGGCTATATATTCGCGTGGCCATGTGAGAGCATTTCGAGAGGGAGAGCGGACTCTCCCCACTCTCGGCCGTACCAGGGCTTTTGGGGGCAAAACGTGGCAAAAATCCATGAAGTCGCTGACAAGTGGACTGAGCCATGTTGGTAGGTGTAGACCACCTGGTTGGGATTCGCAAGATGATAGCAACCGATGGTTAGAGACCTTGAATGACATGGCTCAGAATCGTTTGCAATGGCGAAGGTGCATCCACTCTTTGTATTCTCCCAAATTCTAATTCTCTGAATTCCTCATGTCTCTATCTTTTTTTCTCTTTCCAAATTTATTTCACTGTATTATACTCCTTCAATAACATCTTCAAACCCTAACCTTTCACATAATGCTTATACTCTTATTACTTCTACTACTATGTGATTTGAATCGACAACTTCATCTCTGTGCTAATGTGGTATGGCAGCTCAAACTGATGTACGTACGTACGAAGTTCTACGCTGTGACTGACTGACTGAGACATAGTAAAAACCATTGGAATATGTTCATCTGTACAGACTTAGAACAGCATATATCCAGCTATTGTAAGACTAAAAATGCTTGTAAGGCGTTGATGAGTAAGACTAGATGGTCATATAAAAAACGACTGGTTAGGGATTGTGAATATAGTCCAAAACGGTTATTCTCGTATATAAAAAGGCGAACTCAGAGAAGTGATGGAATCCCATCACTTTTGGTACACGAAAGTCCGTTAATATCGGCAAGAAATGATACAGAAAATGCTGAAGCTTTATCGGAATATTTCAGCAAAGTATTTTTTATCAGTAATAAGGAACGACCAATGATTTATTGTGATTGTGGCGGCTTGTCGATGGATCTTGTAGTTATTGAGAAAGGAACTGTCTTAAGATTACTTCAACATCTCAGACCTGATAAATCCAGTGGTCCTGATGATATTCATCCTGGGATTATGAAAGCACTATAAGGTAGAATTGCTGAAAATATAGCAATACCATTTGATGTCTCTACGACAGTCCAGACTGCCAAGACGCGATTAGTCCGGTGTATAAGGTGGGGAGTCGGTGGTCGGGCATACGTAACCCGACCACCGACTGCCCCGACGTGCAATGTTTCATGGTGTAGGAGTAGGTTGGAAGAAAGCTAGGGGTGGCCAGACCAAAACGTGGCACAAATCAATGAAGTCACTGACAAGTGGACTGGGCCATGTTGGTAGGTGTAGACCACCTGGTTGGGATTCGCAAGATGATAGCAACCGATGGTTAGAGACCTTGAATGACATGGCTCAGAATCGTTTGCAATGGCGAAGATGCATCCACTCTTTGTGTTCTACCAAATTCTAATCTTCTGAATTCCTCATGTCTTTATATTTTTCTCTTTCTAAATTTATTTCACTGTATTATACTCCTTCAATAATTTCTTCAAACCCCTAATCTTTTGGATTTCTGATTATACTCCTACTACTTCTACCACTATGGGATTTGAATCGACAACTGCATCTCTGTGCTAATGTGGTATAGCAACTCGAACTGATGTACGTACGTACGAAGTTCTACGTTGTGACTGACTGACTGATAAGGTGGGGAGTAGAGATTTATTTAGTAACTATGGGCCCGTTAGCTTAACTAGTGCAGTTGTAAAACATGGAAAAAACTATTCCGATAGCTGTTATAAACTATGTGGAAGGGCATAATCATTTATTCACGGAACAACATGGTTTTCGGAAAGGCCTATCATGTTTGACAAATTTGCTTATTGCAAGAGAAGATTGGGCTACTTCAAAAGATCGAAATATTCCTGTAGATGTTATTCCCACAGGTCTAAATAAAGCCTTTGATAAGGTCTCCCATCCGGGTCTTAAATCAAAACTGGAAACTTTTGGAATTCATTATACGATCATAGACTGGAGAAGTGATTTCCTTCATGATAGGAGATAAAGAGTAAGGGTGAATATATGTCCCTGATCGTGGGAACATGTAAAATGTGGAATTCGGACAACAAGGCGCAATCCTCGGTTTTCTTCTCTTTTTGCTTTATGTAAATGAATTGCCAGCTGTAGCAGTCATCCGTTCTACTCTTCACCGATGACATAAAGGTTTGGAGATCCATACATAGCATGTCAGATAGAATATTGTTACAGGATGATCTCAACTCATTGGTGGCAAGGGTAGGCGGATGGTCACTAGGAGTGAATCCTAACAAGAGTGTAGTGATGCAATTAAATAACTATGATTATTCGTATCATGACACAATATGTGGACTCGTGTTACCCAAAGTAAGAAGTCATACTCAGCAATGACCTATCCTATAGGGTATTACGGGTTATTCGTAGGTTTGTTCAGTATTTGGATGAGGAATTGTTTCGATTTTTATACCCGGCTTTCGTGCGACTACAATTGGAATGTGGTATTTAAGCAGTGAGTTCTTGTTTCAAGTATGAGGTGGATATGTTGGAACGAGTCCAACGAAGAGGGACTATAATGGTAAAAGGTCCATCTAGCCTATCTTATGAAGACAGAAGGAAACACCTCAACTTATTTTCGTTATCTTAAAGCAGAACACGGGGTGATCTAATATTGGCTGATCGTATCCTGAACGATGACCTTGGTATTAATGTCTTTTTCTTTTCCTTCCGTCCAGGACTGATCATTTGGTAGGACATTCGAAGAAAGTTTAAAAACCGAGATTAAATCGTCTACATCTGTAGTTTCATTTCTTGCACCTAGTAGTGGATTATTGAAGTTCTCTACCAGAACATGTAATATCAGCACCTTCTCTTAATATATTTAAAACGAGATTGGAATTCCACAATATTACAAACCGCAAGGATTAACATAGGTCGATAGACCTCCTATCCTTATACAGAAGACTGTAACCATCTATAAATTTATAATTGCAGCCAACTTACAAACTGATCTCGAAATCCCAAGTCAAGTGATATTTCTAAAACGCACAAATTTAAATCCTGATCATCAATACCATTGAACATAATATGGTTCAAATGGTTCAAATGGTTGAGGACGGAATAGGAGAAGCTTTCGCTTGACGGGCTTCCGTTTCTAGTAGCAGTGGATCACCAATACCTCTAGGCGAAAACCATGCAACAAATCACAATAGTCCGATCCTTGAGAATGATTCTCACGAAGTACGGTTATTAACTGAAATCCTCACTTAATTCCACTAAGATGTTAGAGATAACTTTTGTGTACAATTGAGAACACCAGAAGCGCAAGAGGGTGGTACATATGAAGTGGATTGTTGTACAAATAAATTTAGACGCGGGTTAGTAACCACTTGAGGAATATACCTTAGTACATGTTGTCTTGCTGAAAACTTTGTCCCAAGTCACATCTGTACACTGAGTAAGGCTGATGGTTGTCTCATTACTAAATATTCCAACACGTCATATATCAACATGGGTAGAGCTTTCAATTTTAGGTGGTTGCTTTGAAGTCAGCCTACTGACAAATACTATTCAATGGACACTCCCACTACGTATCGCAAGGCCGGTAGATACCGACTTAGGACATGAACCATCATTCATGGACATTGCCCATGCACATCTCTGTGACAATTTCACCGACATTGCGAATCATACTCACTAGCAAACAGTGATCACGTTTTGTTGTACTTTGAATTTTCGACGTAATATACCGTATGCATCTGCCTCATGCCCCATGGTGTGGTAACACTTTGGCAATTGGGGACTTCGTTGTCGCGACAGATGCGAATGGAATGAGTTCAAAGCCACATTAGAGTCCGGAACATTACCGTTCATTTCATGGTTAGCGTGTGAGCTACCACATTGCACTCCATGGATAGGTTGGGAAGCATTAAAGCTGTCAAACACTATACTGGGACTAACCCTTGCCAACGGACCACAAATGATTTAAGTGTGGATACTGAAAAATCTGTAATATATAGAAAAGGACCATAGTAAGATCCCGCTCCACTTGCAAAAAAGTTTGGCATACATCTACCGTACTTGCCCAAAACAATAGTTTTCATATACAAACTGAAGGACAAGGTGAAGTAACAGAATTTGTCAATTATCGTTGTACAAAAATTCAGGTATACCACATGAATCAGATTTGACCAGGCCTGAGAATTTATCAAACTATTTCACAGAGGTCTACTCTACGGGTATTGTTAACAGCACTTCCCGCAGCCACACCACTGAGATACCAGCCATAGGACCAGTGCGTGCGACTGAGGAAGCTGTTCTTCAGTTACTCATTAACCCCAAACTTGTAGGTTACCGGGTTCTTATGGACTACATTCATGATTTCTGTATCAACTAGCGGACACTACTGCAGGACCACTGGCGATGCTGTTCAACATGTCCCTCTCACAATCTCAACTCTTTAGGCATTGTAAAGGTGATGTGGTTTGCCCTACGTTCGAATACGAGAGGAAACCGATCGTGTCCGCATACCGACCTGTCAGTCTAAGCAGTACAATATTTAGGTTATTTGAAAAAACAATTCTGGCTAAGTCGCTATGTTACCTAGAACCCCACAGTCTTTTCATTCCAGAGGAACATGGGTTTCGGAATTTTGCTAGCCATTTGATAAGATATCTCTTAGGGCTTATCCAGAAACTCGCCAACATTGGAATAACAGGTGTTGTACAGTAGTAGATTGGAAAATTCCTGTAGAGAGCGAAAGTAAATGGAAAACTATTTGAAATGAAGTCAGTTCAAAATGGTTTACTCGAAGGCAACATCTTGGATCCCCCATATTTCTTCTCTACCTTCACAGATTACCGAAACCTCCTACGTCCATGACACCACTGTTTGCCTAAGATTTAGAAATCTGGAGAACAGTAGGCAGTGAAGTCGAATGTCTTTATCTCCAAGCCGACTTATACGAATTCGTTAGATGGTTCCATGATTGGTACTTGGAAATTAATTCTGGATAATACATACCACACACGGAAATAGTTACCAGTATACAATCAACGGTACATCGCTTCCACGCGAGTATGAACAGAAAGCAACAGTAACTTGACTGCGATACAACTATACATTGCAGTGCAGTGGCCCTAAAACGTTTTCGAGCGCTGGCCATTTCGCCAGGCATTTAAATGCTTTGTAGGGATGTTCAGGATTTTTTACTGGACGTATGTATGTAAAGTACTCCATCAAAACAACTGGTCCATGTTTTACTAAGGATGCTGAAATAGTCGAGTGTGTTGATTGTTCGGCAACCAAGTTAGTGACGAGTCTTTCCAAACTTCCTTACGATGAGCTGTTAAAACGTGTAAACACTACGTCCTTGTTTTACTGAATAACGCTAGGTGACGTTATATTGATATTCCGTGCTTTTAATAATGATTTAGATTTTGATGTGTCTTATCGTTTCGCTCCCAGCAGAACTAGTCACCTCAAAGGCCACAACAAGAACGTTTGAAAAACCGCATTCTAGTAGGCGCAGAGTGGGGTATTATCTTTCTCATCGAGTGGACAATAGGAGAGGGCGTCCCTGTATCTATTATCTTCTTTGGTAGCATGTCAAACTTACACTCAAGACTTTACCAATCTTGAAAAATCTGTATGGTGCTCAGTAAGATCACTTAACATCCAGACTCATATACAGGATGACTACTGCCGACACCGAGCACGACAATCGTAAGCTGGAGGGTTTATCTCGCTCTACTCGTCTCAGATACACTCAGAAGACTTCAATCCTTCCATAGTTAACTTCGCTGGACACGCATATACTAGAGGTGACAACTCTACTGAAGCTCAGTTCTTCAACCCCATTGAAGATCTAGGCTTATACAGAAGTCTGAAGTTAGCAGCTCGGCGGATAAATGGTCAGACACCGTCAAGCTTAGACTGCATATTTACGAACAAATAATTCTTAGTTCAAAAACCCACAATCCTGGCTCCCCTGGGTAGTAGTGATCGTGGCGTCACCCGAAACTCAGCAGGACTCTCAGGAGTGAACATGAGTGTTGACTTGGCGTATCAGTAACCGCCGCATTTAGACAAGGACACTTCTCCTGACCCGGGTATGGTTCATTTTGCTATACTGAGGGAAGCGGCTTCAATCTTGACAAAACTTCTTAGCGTTAAGTTCTCACATTAGCCAAACCGAGGCATGGCACCAGAAAATCAGATGTTGGCTCACATAACATTAATCTTCAAAGGAAGTCGACTTAGTGAACATTCAAGTTACCGGTCAGTAGCACTTCTCTCAATACCTTCAAAAATCATGGAGCCATTGATATGCGACGGACTTCAAGACCACTCAATATTCATAAATGCCTTTTCACCCTAAAAGCACGGATTCAGGAAAGGTCACACTTGTATGACCAACCTACTGACCGTGGTGGATAAATGCACAACCATCCTTGGTCACATAGGGTAAGTTGACATTATATACTTTAAAAAATTGGAACGTTTTCAAAGGGTAGTCACGAAATCAGTTCGGGGAATCAAATTCAAAGTTTATGAAGAACCCCTCAAATCACTGAATTTCTGTCAATTAGAGCATAGGCATCTGAGATGACCTAATGACTTATGGAATTCTAAACACTCCTAGGCATCTCCTTGGATTCCTGCTTGAGCTCAGTCGCAGCACAAAGATTGGGGGTAACACTCAGAAATCGGGGGCTCAATATAGCAGGATGAATTGTAGGCACTCCTTCCACTATTTGTGAGTAGTCAAATTCTGGAATTTGCTGGCGGCTGAGCAAGTCCAAGCGACTTCCCAGGAGTCCTTCAAAAGGAAGATTGATATTGTTTAAGGATTAGGGACGGTATCCCGCTACGATTTTCCAATTTTTTCTCTTTTATCGTTAAATACACTGTAAAACATCAACGTTGATGATCTATGTCAAAATGATCGGGGGCCTACTATAGTTAGACGAGAATGGGGACGAACCAATTAACGCTGAAGTCACACCTCGCGACCAGCCCTTACGTGGATTGAACCATCGACGCATCAAAGGATAATAGATGCTATGGAGACTGTACAACACAAAGGACGTTATGACAAGAATATATTAGTTAAGGTACAACTACGGAAGTACAGAAGTGAAAGAATAACCACTGCCGCGTGGGCCAGTCCATGGCGTACGATTGGTTTGTGTGCGTTGACTACCCTTGACCTTGGCAGGGATCAATGATCTGTTCAGTATTCAGTGACCCTACAATACTCCCTCACCAGATTCAACGGCCGTTTGAATCGATGCCAAAAATGTTGGGAGTAGTCGCGCGCCGGAGGTTGCCAGACGATTATTATGAATCCTCCGGGTATTGCCGAGCTGTAAAAGAAACGGAAAGGAGGCTGCAGAAAATGATCGGGAAGCAACGAGTAATAACACGTAACAGGGACGTTGGTTGAATGTTAAGCGAAAAAAAACATAGAAATAATAGAAAAAGAAACATGACATTTTAGAGTTTTATCAAGTCGCGTTGAAATAATTAGCTTTGAAAAGTGATTGAGGTCCTCAGATGCTAAACGTTGAGTCCGCTGCAAAAATAGTGATGTCACAGTGATAGTACGATAAGTGTATTGTCAATCGATGCCGATGTTTGTACTGCCCTCGGTTCACAGTAGAAAGTCAGTAAGTGTCGTTGACAACTGTTCGTAAGCGTCGATTTCTAGTTATATCTATATTTAACAGACTAACTGTAAGTACAGAAGTATAACCGTGAAGATAAGCCGTGGTTTCCTTGTGCGAAGCTTCTGATCAACTTGCAGCCAGTTTGGAAAAACTGATAACTGCTGTAAAAATCAATAAGGGTCGAAGAATACAGAGCAAGAGCGAAAGGTGGCACGATGAAATCTCTAAAAGATGATAATTGGTGAGTGCTGCACACGTGTTTGATGAGTGAACCGAAAAATGTCGAAAAAAACATAAGAAACCAAGAGTGTCACTCTGAACTCATGTCAATGACATCGGTGAGAAATGCTGTCAGTGTTGGGGTCGAGACGACAATATCGTTGTCAGTTTGCAGGAGATGCGCTCGACTGCGTAAACCGATGATTCGCGTGAATGAGTGTCGTCAAACCACCAATTGAACTGGACAGGCTTTAGATCGTCGAGTAGTTGAACAGCCGATTGATGTACCGAAATCATCTGTTAGATAACAGCCACGCGGAAACAATACTTCATAACATGAAAAAATACGACGTCGAAGTTGAATAACTACAATAGTTCGGAGGTGTTGTAATGTCACATCGAAGTAACATCATTTCGTATACTGACAATTGTACTGAACGTTCGTTTGGGCATTGTTTATGTAGCAATTGGATGTGCAGTAGCAAACATATACGAAGACTATCGTGGGGTTTATGGAGAATTTCAGAAGACGTTTAGATATTTTCCAAACCCGTATTGCATGTGAATAAGCCGAAGACGGAATTGAAGTGACTTTCGTACAATAAGGAAATCGAGCCATGATTTACTGTGTGAGATAACAGCAAATACAAAGCGCATAGTAAACAATAATTTAAATGGTAACCACCAATGTAACTAAAGTTTAGGTTTAGATAACGTGATCGTTTCGTAAAAAAAAGCATATTATCTAGCTCTAAGTGACATCAAGTACGACGAAGTGTCTCATTAAGACATGGACTAAGATTGCTCGTGTACATGAAATACGTTTTTTCGGAGTATGTTGACTTACAAGTCATAAATGTACATAGTTTCGACTAACATTTGACGGCAGTGACAGAATGTATGACTACTCTAAGTGAATGTAGCCGCGAAATGTTATTAGACATTATACGAAATTATTTAACACAGTTATGAAATTCGCCTGGGTTACTCTTGCTCCCAAGTAATTGAAATTTGTTTAATAAATTCGTAGATTAGCGAAACGTTGTAGACTGAATTGGTATACGTCCAAACTTAATTTGAGCCAAACACGTAGCATTGCCTGGCGAAACAGTCTAAACAAGATCTAACATTGCAGGAAATTTATAGTTCAAACTCACCGTAAATTTGTAGCATTCGTATCTTCTGATTCGCCATGGAACTCAGCAATTGGAAATTAGGCAGGCAGTGGTCAAGAAAGTAAAATATTCTAGTAAATAGTTTTTGATAGTAGTTAGTTGATAGTGATTAAGCAGAAAGATGAATTTATAATTGACAGTTAATCCTGTATTGGTTATACGAGTGGATAAGTTGCAAACAGATAAGCGTTCGTGTTACCTTGAGGCTATACTTACGAGTGGTTGATATTTTAACAGACATATTACACAGGAGCATTTACATGCTTCTAATGCTTGCTAAAGAACCACGATAGTCGATTATAGTCGTAGTTGATTGGTTAGTTCTATCGATTGAACTAACTATTTCAGTTGAAATACTAATCAACATTGATATAAAGCAACGAATGTTCACAGAAACTGATAAATATAGCCGAAGTTAAAAATGAAAATAATAAGTATAAAATGCAATAAGAAAGATCATCAAGATAGGTTGCGTTATTCGAAGTCTTGCTCACCAGTGTAAAACCATCTACGCATCAAAGGATAATAGATGCTATGGAGACTGTACAACACAAAGGACGTTATGACAAGAATATATTAGTTAAGGTACAACTACGGAAGTACAGAAGTGAAAGAATAACCACTGCCGCGTGGGCCAGTCCATGGCGTACGATTGGTTTGTGTGCGTTGACTACCCTTGACCTTGGCAGGGATCAATGATCTGTTCAGTATTCAGTGACCCTACAACACCTAAGTCTCTCACTAGAGGAATCAGTGATCCACTGCATCCAGATTGGAAAGCAAGTTATGTGGAAGGTTCTATTACATCCAGGGCCATTTTAAAAAACTTGAAATACATATTTTTAAACTACTTTTGTGCAAATTGGGATCCTTCAAGACATTTACATTGGTCCTTAGTAGAGACCTGGCGCGATTTTCATGTGGTAACTGCCTGTGTGCATTTTGGAAGTAACTTTACGTTGGGCATTCCTGTTCGAAATGGTACGTTTCAGTCGCTTTTAATTGATTCAATATAGGCTCGTAGTGCAGAAAAAGCTATGTAGGTTTTTATAATCTTTATTCGGAGTGTTTCAGGACTGCTCTCGCTCGTTGGAGAGCAGTTTATGTGGATCGTGTTCAAGAGACAAAGAAAAGGCCATATATCGCCTCCGAGTGCACCGGGTTGAAGGATTCTCTATATTACAGACGTCAAATTGTTCATGAGATATCTCGAAAAATAGCTCAAATACAGAATCGTGTGACTTATTTCTTCTGTTCAACGTTTTTACTTTCAGCTAGCTTAGGTGAATACAAACTAAGGGATTTGAATGATGACATAAACAAGCTTATCCGAGAAAAATCACACTGGGAAGACCACATAAAAAACCTTGGGGGTCCTGACTTCAAAGTATAGTTGTAATTTTTACACTATAGTGTAGGCAGAAGCACCGAAAATGCTTGAAAAAGAGGGAAAAGAAGTTCCTGGCAATAGGGGCTACAGGTATTATGGAGCAGCTCGTGATCTCCCGGGAGTGCGCGAATTATTTGAAGAAGATCGTAAGTTGATATTTGACTATTTTATTGTGGCTTTTGTCTGTGTTTGAGATGCCATGTATTACCATTGTTCAGCTTCCATGAAGTTCGTCCTCACAATTGTAACAGCCAAGGTAGTAGGAACCAGTCAATAGGTACATGAGATTTCGCGTAATAAAATGGTTTGACAAAACTATGTATACTTAGACGATTATCTTTCTTTTTTAAAATTCTATCCAATCTTACGTTTCACTTTGGAAAGAACAGAAGGCTAGGTGGCCTGTGTTAGTCCCGGCAATGGTGGCCTTTTCGTTGATCCAGCTTCCTTCTTAAAGCGTCGATAGATGGAGCTCCCGCAACGAATTGAGGTAATAAATTCCACTCGATGATTCTGTGGGGAAGTCGATAGTCAGCTGACAAGTAATTTGCCCTGGGCTTGTGAACCTTTTGAGATGTCTTCACAAACTGGTCAATTCCCCTTTGGTTCTTCTATATGACAAAGGGAATGGGTTTAGTTTAGCCGGTCGAGCATCATACAGGAGCTTCGCCATTCTGAGAATCGGCTTAGTTGCGGTTATTCACACCTTTTCTGACAGCTCACTGTCTTTTTCAAGCAGGGGCTAGTCACTTGTGTGCAGCACTCAAGTTTAGGACAAACGAATACTGTATAAAAAGTCAAAAAAGTCTTCGACATGGCTAAAGGCCCTACGTGTTGACCATAGAGTCGTAAAACCTATGGCGGCTATCGCATGGCAGTGTGCAATAGTCTGTAAGTCTTGGCCAACGATGACTACTAAGTCATGGTGTCTAGACAACAGGTAGCTCAATGTTATTCACTGTGTATGCATTTGTACGTCAATGACCATCATGCATCATAACGAACTTGGAGCTATTTATCAGCAACTGCAAATTTTATATAACAACCGGTTGTGAGGAACTATATCGGAAGCTTTGCTGAAGTCAATGTAAGCTACTTCTCCGGATAAAGTTTGACCTTTAAGAGTGCACCAACTTTCAGGGGCTACTAATAACCTGTTTAACATCCACGCTGTTTCTCAGAAAGAATCCGGTTTTCGTCGAGATACTTTAACGACCTCCGAGTAAAATTTTTTAAAACCTCAACAACTACTCTTGTCAGGCTTACGAGTTGACCATTCTCAGGTTTGTGTTTCGTACCTGTTTTGAAGATAGGACTTACTGTAGCATTATTCCAGTCTTTTGGTGATCTACCTTGAACTACAGATAAGTTAAAACATATGCGTAGGGGATTTACGAGAGGATTTGCCCATTCCTCTAGTAATCTAGGGTGCATTTCATCGGTCCCATAAATTAGCCTATATCAAGCTCATTTAACAAACCAAAGACATCGGGTTCTTTGATGGTCACAAATATATTGGGCTTCTCGATGTTGAGGTTTTGTCTCATTAGTGCACAGTAACCTAAATCTCTCCAACATTCTTCTCTTAAGAAGAAGGGTAAGAACCTCTCTAATGAACCATGGTGAGGAGTTTCTCACAAAAAGGTCGTGTGTGACCGACCTCAAGCAATTGCCCCTTGGGCACTGCGGTCACGCTCTCAGGTCATTAAGACCACTTCTAACCCAATTTCGTCTTCAGGTACCTCTAGAAGAACCCTTCCACGGTGTGGGCAACCGGGAAGTGATAACTGCCCTCATACCTCTAACAGCACTCAAGATCGCTGTATTCATAATCAATCTCCTTCAATTCCTACTATTCCTTTTACCTTGACTTTCAACACTAAACTTCCTGTTCCGGTTTCCTCCTCAAGTATCACCATGTCCAACGATTCTAGTGCGCGAAACGCTGTCCCAGGTCTACTAAAACCTCGCTCCAAACTACACATTGGAGCCTTCAACGTACGTACTTTAAGTCAAATCGGTCAACAGGCCTCCTTAGCTAAAACCCTAGAATCTCGTACCATTGATGTATGCTGTGTCTTCGAAACACGCATACAGGATCATAGTGTGGTCATTCACTTGACCTCACCTCGCCAAATTGGACAGCCAACGAAATACACCCTCCATGTATCTGGCGACCCGTTGGCTAGTTCTCGCGGACTTGCATGTGTAGGCATAGCATTAAGTACAAGGGCAGAACAGGCACTACTAGAATGGATCCCCGTTAACAGTCGCCTGTGTGCTGTCCGGCTAAATGGATCCGTAAGAACTCGGAAGGATAGGGACACACATCGTTGCCTTTTCGTCGTGTCTGCCTACGCTCCCACTGACTGCAGCCCTGATGAAGTGAAAGATGACTTTTACAGAAAGCTCTCTGAGCTTCTTCAGAAAGCTAAGCGCTCAGACATAGTAGTCGTAGCGGGTGACTTTAATGCCCAGGTAGACAGCCTAAATCAAAGAGAAAGACATTTAGGTGGGTGTTTTAGTATTCCGGCTCAACGAACCGATAATGGTGATCGTCTGTTGCAACTATGCTCAGACAATCGTTTATTTTTTAGCAAGCACTGATTTTAAGCATAAGGAGAGACTTCGTCTAACATGGCGACCACCTGCACCAAACCAACGATGGACTCAAATAGACCATATTGTCACCAGTCATCGTTGGAGAGGATCAATAGAAGATTGTCGCTCGTATTGGAATACTTGTTTAGACTCTGATCACGCTTTAATACGAGCGCGCATTTGTCTGCGCCTCACTGGACGCAGGAAAAGTACACTAAGAAGACCCATTAGGATTGAACTGGAGGACGAGAAAGCCAAATGCGAATTCCAGAAACAACTGAGTTCACATCTAGGCAGTTCTGTAAACAAGACTGACCCAGATGCTGCTTGGAAAGACACACGAACAGCTGTGGAGACAGCAGTAACATCTATTAGTCATTTAAACCATAGGGCTCCAAAAAAAACAGTGGATTTCTTCTAAGTCTATTTCACTGATGGATTCGCGTAAACTCATCCCATCAGGCTCTGAACACGACGAAGAGCGTAAAGAAATTAGATCTAGGTTAACTAAAAGTCTAAGGAACGATCGTGAGCAGTGGTGGGCAACGAAAGCAAAAGAGATGGAAAAGGCAGCGGCTGTAGGCAACACCAGGCAACTATTCAGACTAATAAAAGTAACCGGAATTAATAAATCAAGTGTAAGTGAGACGATCTCGGGAAAAGATGGAACCATTATCTGCTCTCAACCCAAACGTTTAGAACGATGGGCGTAACGATTTAAGGAGCGGTTCAGCTGGCCTTTAGCTACTCTACAAGTACCCACTATTCCCAGAAAACCTGAATGGAACATTGAAGTAGGTCCCCCGACCCTACCTGAAGTTCAAAAGGCTATAAGTAATCTGAAACGAGAAAGAACAGCTGGTCCAGATGGATTGGCTCCAGTGGTCTTTAAATATGGTGGTCCGATTTTAGCGATTAGGTTGACTAATATTCTGCCTAAAATCTGGGAAACGGACGTAATCCCATCTGACTGGTCACAATCTCTGATTGTCCCAATATCATCAGTGCTTAAAGTCACTAACTTGTAGTCTGAGCCATGTTGGCAGATGCAGACTACCTGGTTGGGGTCCACGTGACTATCGTAACCAATGGTTCGAGACTGTGTGTGACATGTCTCGGAATCGATCACAATGGCATAGGTGTATACACTATTTATCTTCCATTAAACCTTGAGATTAAAATTGCTTCGTAACTTTTTTCCTTCCTATACTATATCCTTATATACAACCTTTCTTTATATACTACCATCACTAAATTAATTACTTCACTCACGTCACAGTCTGAACTGCGGTAGACCGAACCAATCAGTAGCTCTTGTTCTCTGCATTCCAAAAGACAACTAACTAACCCATACGCCCCACTCTCACGAGATACATTATCAATAATGGCAAATGGGATAGAATTTCTAATGAATAGAGCAACGCCTCCTTTGCGCTTTTGGATTCTGTCGGCTCTTTTTAACGTGAAACCTTCAAAATCAAGTTCCCTACTGTCTACAGATTGCATCAGCCAAGTTTGTGTGACTGCAATTATATCCGGCTTGGTAGAGTTTATGTGCACACCTGGCTCTGATCACTTGTTGAGTAAGCTCCAGGAGTTTGTGTGACGGACTCGAAGACCATTTAAAGAGCTTTTTGCTGCACCCAACGCGGCTTGGGCACCATTCTTTGTCGAAGCGTCACTACGCGAAAATTTGCAATTTTTACGTCCTCCTGACCAAAATCTGAGTTTAGTATTAGTTCTTTTTCAGCTCGCCTTTTTATACGGTCCGTAAGCAACAAGTCTTTATGGGCTTAAACTCCTGACCAATTTAGTTCATGTCCATTCTGTAGTATTAGGTCCCTTCTGTTGGGAGATTTATACTGCTACTTTTAGCATCCTGGTTTGATTCTGTTTCAATTCCATTTGGCTACTAAGTCTATAATCATTTAGGAAGGTGACTACGGGGATATTCCGAGGTATTATCTGCTTTAGTAGCTCTTTTATCAACTCAATATCATGTTCAAAACGAGTTCTGGGTTCTAAGCTTTCACTTTCCTTGACTCTATGAAAGGCAACTGACCTGTCACAATGACCAGTCTTTATGTCTTAGCTTTTTTGGGGTGTGGGGGTTGGCTTTTCTTTAATAACATATTGTTTCGTGTTCTCGACTTGTACCAATTTATCAACTGTCTTTGAAGTAGCAACCACGGTCACGTCAAACACACTGTGCGATTCTGAGTGGTTATCGACGATTCGGACGGTCAGGTTGTTTTCCAGGCTAGAAACAGACATAGTCTTGCGATTAGGTTTTATAGGCGTTTTCTTCTCGCTACCATTTGGAGGGCAGGGGTCGGAAGAAACTCCCTTTCTTGAGCTTCTATTTCTAATAGACGTCTTTATAGACTGTTCTTCCTCTGTTGGCTCATGTAAGTCAATCAACTCTGGGCTTATTTGCCGTAACTTCACATCAATATGTGTATCGACCTAGCGAGTGCCATTTGATGTGTCTCGACCTCGTTCGCTAATACTTCTTTTAGCAACATTCACCACTGCAATGGCTTCGAATAGCAAGGTATTTGCGTCCGAGCAGAATTGCTGATAAAACCACACACATCTATTTTTACTAAAAAATTTTAAAGCCACATGTGTTAGATTTGTGCAAACTTCGTGGTAACATCCTTCACACTCGTCTCACTGCATGCCACTCTCTACAGGGTATCGACAGCCTTGGCATCGGCAATAACTTTTTTTGCACTGTCCAGTCATCAGAGGTATTCAGAAAGAAACTAGACACGAAAAATACCTAGAGAGAAGAAAAACTGTTGACCAGAAAAAGTGATAAACTAAATTGTTCGATCCAAAAGTGCAAACAAATACTAAAGGAACCAATGCACTCAAAAGTAACGGTACTCTTGGAGAGTGCTTTAACTAAAATAAATTCAGTCAAAGTGGAAACAGAAGTCTTGATACGTAATTAACGATCAAAACAATAAAATTAACTCAGCGAGAAAAAATATCGCTGTCCTTTTAAAACAGCTAATTAGGGTTGACTACATTTACTCTGCCCTCGATTTTTACTGTGACTTAAGGCTAATTTCAACCTCAAGCTAGTACCTTTCAGCTAGAATTTCTACCGTATATTTATTAGGAAATGTTAGTGAATGTACGTGGTGCTTAAATAGTTTGGTCAAATTATATCACTTTTATTCATACAATTATTGGTTAAAATATCAAGTGTACTGTGCTACCACAGCTGGTCTATGAGGTGTAACTCGTATACGGTGTACAGGTTTATACATTCGGCTTTGAACCAAAATATATTAGGACTAATGAGTTCATCGTACTATGAAAACCGGACCAGGTGAAATAGGTTTTTTAACCTGTAATTTATTGTTTGATAACCGAGTGTTTTAACCACCAACTTACTGCTACACTTTACTGTTGATTACTAAATTAAGCTTATTTATCACTGCCATATCAGTAGTCTTTCGCCCTATCAGTTGCTATATCTTTGATATTAATGAATACACTTTCCAAGCACAAAGCTATTGACATTTGTCTTGCAAATACTCCCGGTATATTACAATTACAAATTTTTTGAACACATAAATATTGATACAAGGGGCACCAGATATATATGCGCCACACAAAAAATGTCATCTCATTTAATTGTGTGAGAGCTATGATACTGCCCAGGTGCCCAAACCAAAGCAGGTGGTTTTCTTAAGGGGCCACACCCGGAGCCTTTGACCCAAAGGTCTAATCCACAAGGTAGTAGAGCAGCGTCAGGAGATGCACTCCATGGTAGTCGGTGACAAACGATTGGTTCATACGCCATTCGTTCCCTCAGGATCCTGGAGCCTACGTGCACCATTAGTTTGGAATCAGGGTTTTCTAACTATCCTAGGTGGGCTCGCCGTGTCTACCAACCCGGTTAAAGCGCCGGACATTTGCTTTTCGTCTTCCAAACTTCGTAAACAACACTCCAGCCTTGAGAAGGCAGTGTGTAGGACTTCCCTGGCAGAGGTTGTATACGCGTGGCCATGTGAGAGCATTTCGAGCGAAATGGCGAGCCCTCCCCCCCCCCTCGGCCGTACCAGGGCATTTGAGGGCAGTTACGAGGTGAAGTTTGTGGATCTTACATTTATCTATTATCATTAAGCATTCGATTCTTTGAGTTCCCATTTTTTAGAAACGGCTTTTTCATTAGAATGAGTATTCTCAACAACATGAAAACCCACTTCTTACACTAAACACAGTATTTAAGCCTTCCATAGTCTATCAAAATTATGAGTTTATAATACGTTAGTATCATGTTAGACCACGTAGTAATATAATTTTTTGTTTTCATGTGGAATACTAGTCTTATGATAATCTTTCTGGTAGGGTTGGGTATCTTTAAAGCCAACGAACGGTTCATATACCACTGCATAATGAATGTTAGGGTGGTTGTCAAATTGTCTATCATTTCGCAACTGTTACAGTAAATGCTGGTCATCATCGTACGCAACGTAGAAATTAACATTTGCATCGTCTCAATTTACCATACCACCTTGGCACACCAAGATAAAATTATTTCGAGACGAATCCGAGTACTGAGAGTAACGACATTATCATTAGTAGTAAAAATATAACTACTTATAGAAATGGAAAAAAGGTATAGGAAGATTTCGTAACTAGCATTCTAAAAAAATATCAGGAGAAAATCTACCTCCATCATTGGGAAAGATTCTGACCCATATCAATCAAAGTCTCTAACCATTGGCTACAACAATCACGCGGACCCCAACCAGATAGTTTACATGTGTTAGCATGGTTCAGTCAAGTTGTCAATGACTTGACAGATTGTGTCAACTCTTGGTTTTGCCACCACTAGCTCTCTACCAGCCTACATATACACTAGAGATCATCGCCTGTGGAGGTAGGTGGTGGTTGGGTATACGTAACACATGTCTCAACCACCTCCGTTGATGAAAACTTATCACCCCATCAATCGATTTTCCCTAGTACCCTAGCCCTAACCCAGGGGGTGCTTACTCGGCAATCCAAAAGTACATGAAGAATGTCTTGAAGATACCTGTAACATATGACTCTTCTATTCCTAGTGACTGTGTTTCACACCCATAAATTAGGACGGAGCGAACTGGTGCGCAGCAAACTCATTCTTGGTTGGAAGATGGATATCTTGTCTACGCCACAAGTGACGCGAGTTGTCAGAAGCTAGTCGAGCTTTCTGAATCGGTCTCGAGATTTCGTCAGGCACCTGACCTTCAGGACTGATCGGGGTGAAGTGGTCTCTGTGTTCAACTATTTCACTCCCTATCATTAATTCAGGCGCTGAAGCAACATTTTGCATTTTAGGTAGAAAAAGTTTTCGATTTGCTAGCTCCATACCTCAGTAAGCCTTACCGCTGGAGATAAAAATCTGTGGGATAAGGTTAGATGTGATATTTGTAGGGTCAAAATTTCCTAACGCCTTCTTTGTGAGAAGGCAGAATTGCTGCAGATGCTAGTTATCTTGAGGAATCGCCTTACCGCTGTTACACCCTTCTACACCTAGGAGTACAATTTCGTTATCGGACTTTAAGTTGTTGCTTTTAGTCTTACCATTCTCCAACTGGCCTACCTACCATGGTAGGACCTAAAGGAACACTAGTTATAGCCAATATAGCTCGACCAGATCATCATGTTAACCAAGCTTGACTACAATATCAATGTAGCAACTACGTTCGAAAATGCTGGTTGATAACATCTGATAACCTTTATTCACCTCACACAAAAAATACTACCGTCTTTATTGACTTACCACCAAACTTTGATCGGTCTTCTGTTTAAAGACTAGCTTATATTCGGTAGAATATTAGATCTAAGTCTCGTTCTAGTATCTTTAACTTTTTGACGTGTTTAATGATAACTATTTTATACTCTCCGTAAAGATATTGTAAGATCTTGAATTTTGGGGTTCAATGTATGCTGTTTGGTTGTTAAAACCAAAGGCTAAAGTTCTAGTGTAGACATAATAATCATAATATTAACTAAAACTTTTGTGTAAGCTTTGTTGCTTTTTACAATATTAACTGTTTAATTTTTAGCCCAACCAGTAGCTAGGAAATCTAGAGGCGAGTTAATGAAGCTAGTTGACGTATCATATTATGGTAACTGTGACGAAGATGATGGTGTAATTATACCTCAAGAAGCTGTTTATGAACAAGAAGGTATCGAGATTTCTTTTAATATTCTCGGATTTTTCCAGCTATCGCGTATAAAATTGCTGAATGGAAATATCGTAAAGCATCCGACTCTCAACCAGGATATTCATGCAAGCCACTCGGGGATGAATTTGATGAACTAGATGAGGATAATGCGGATACCAGAAACATATATGACGTTGGTGACAATGTAAGTATACTTGGGGTATGAGTGTTCGATATTCATTTATAATATGACAGTTAATCACAAGGGCTCATTATCTTAATGTGTTGTATTTTTAGATGTAATTAACTCTTCATATAACTGCCGTAAACATATTTCTATGAACACACATACTTTCATTTTCTTAAATTTTTACCTTGATCTTAAGTCCCTTAGGTTTCAGACACACCAAATGATGTTCATAGAGCGGTGGCTTGGTGTTTAAGGAATTTAGCTTTCTACTTCTAAACGCCAAAACCGAACCCCACCTCACATGTTGTGGTTTGGGAACTGAATAGTATTATATTCACGATTATTTGATAACATTCGTTTTTATTTTACATTGCGTCGCCTGTATATTCCTTTTTATTCCCATTTTCTGTATTCTTTTATCTTCCAACTCATGCAACAGTTCGACGATGGTGCAAATCCTGTTCTTTCTAACCGATCTCAAGTCACTGACTAATTGGAAGTTAAATGCTACCATCGAATACAAATTTTAAATCAGCCTTCCTGAGACCACGTGTGCCATCGAAACTGGCATCCGTCAGCGTTCTCACACTAATACAGACCAGACAACTGATAGGGTTTGGTATGTCTTTAGGAAGTCTGAAAATCGAAAAATGTTTTCTATTCGAGACCTCTATTCAGGACTAGTAAATTAAGACAAAATCACCTTCCACCTATCTATTCGAAACCGCTGTATTACATGGGTTTATTCGAGAATCCTGTAGCATGTTTATCCGGTTTTGGAGTTTGTGTCTCACTGGATGCTAGAGTAGAGGCAATACTAGTCGGTTGGATCCCCACTAACAGTATTTTACTTTGCCCGTATTGTAATCGGTGGGAATGTAGGCTAAGACAACGAAGAGGGATCGGAGTGTGTGTCCCCTCGAATTCTTACTGGTTGTGTATTACACAAACCACGATACTATCTTTTCATTTCTAAAGATTCTGTTTCCATGTTCTCAGTATTTTCCGCTAGAATATTCATTTATTCAACCTAGAATTAAACAGCTGTTTGAGCAAATCCTTAATTCCTCACGTTTATTATCTTTTATTGATCCCACATAAAGTATATATACTTTTGCCTTTTAAATAGTAATTTGTTATTAGGTTTCAAGCAGCTGAAAAGAAATCGCGCAATAAATAAGTTCACTTCATTCTGCTACGATCGTTGTTCCTTGTAGATGGTTGTGACTGAGCCTTGTGTATTGTGCTTCCGGATGTCACTAGAATCTATCTTGTTTTCAGTCCATTTTTTTCTCAGTTTGCAAAATGGATTAGTCGAAATGTACAAGAAGAAAAAAATACATTATATTCAAAAATAAAACTCATGAAATAACCAGCATGCGGAGACTACACTTGCTTCATTGTTATCAGTTGTCGTCGTCATCGTTTGTGAACGCTGAAAACCAAGATCTTATTAATGGTTCATAAAAAACCTTGGTTTTTGTGTACTCAAAAACGTCAGTATCTGATGAACTGTTTCCTTACTAAATGATTACTATTTTTAAGTAATTGTTTAAATGTACAGTATCTTCTGTTCAAACTACACCATCGTATTAATGAAACTAAGTTGTATTTGATTTTATTACAACTTTAAAATGTTATTTGCTCTCGCATAATTTAACATCTGGATTAACTTTGTTTTTCTTACGCAGCCGGCTGATATAGAATTGATGCGTCTTTATGAAGCAATTGATGAAAATAATGAAGTTGGGTCGATTGACTTTTCTAATGCAGAACAATTGGTAGCACTAATAAATGACGACGAAAATACAGATGAATTAGATAATCATACAGGAAGTTCGGCCACAAAATCGATGAGTTCTTTAAGCACTACAGTTAAGCGAGCATTCGTTGCCCATGTTCCAATCTACTCGCAAGAGCAGGTGAGATTGATATTCAAATTTTTCGAAAATAGTTCGTTATTTCCTTTAACTTTACGACAGACGCCGATGCTGTAATGTAGTAGTCTAAATCATTTATAATGTATTTTATAAACATCCAGTGCGCCACACATTGTGCGTGCAATGCGATCTAGACCCGACTTTATGTTGAAACACTGTAGGTAGCTTTGAGATAATATGCATTTATCAATAGTCTTATTGTAAAACCACCAATAATCTCAGCACATTATAATGCATAAAATTCGATAATCCGTGTTTCGTATTTTTTCATCAAATAGTATCTAGTCTACCATTGATTGCAGGCCAGATAAAACACAATCGCGCTCTTTTTAAATTCTTTAATTATCCTTATGATTATTACGTATTTGTGTTTTCAGATTGAAGCGGCACTAGTAGCCCAGCGCAAACGTGAAATTCTTGAGAAATATATGTCTAGTGATCTGTTAGCAAGTATGGCACAAACTGGGGAAATCCTTGGCTTTGAAAATAGTGATGAAGCTGTAAACGACAGTCATTTTTCGTCAATCCCGATAACAAATTCCAATGTTAACGTTGACTTGGATACAAATGAAGGAGAGAAAGAGAACTAAAACTTTATTTTGTAACCTTTTGAATGTATATTTCTGTACAAATTACAAGCATTTAAGTAATGCGATCAAAACGGTGTTTTTTGCGTCTTAGGTTACAATGGGATTCGATAGTAATTTTGTCAAAAACATCTCTAAAAAACCTGTGACAAGTTTGGAGGATCTGTGAAAATCATTTGTGACTTATTGTACTGTCGTATGAAAATATGTGCAGAATATATGCGGAATAATATCTCGCTTTTTTAGCAAGACAACATCCATTTACAGTTGCGCTGCTTAGTACAATCACTAATCTCTGAATATGTTGTATAACTTGTTATATAATATCAGATGCTACTTAGTAAACTTATAGTGTTATGATTAGACTGTTGCGTGCAGTTCACTTGCCAATGATTACCTGTGTGTAAGAAAATTGATAGTCTTCCAATTCATAATTTATCCTTCCCTTTGCCTTACATTTAAGTATATGCCGATAGTTGTAATAACGAACATTAGAATCGTTTATTTTTCATCGTTATTCACTTGAGATTGTCATTTACCATATTTAGTTAAGCGCAAGAGCTTATTACTCTTAGTTCTGGATAGTGTACGGCAACGAATTTATATATAAGATCACTATTTTGGTTAAATATATTCTATATGTAAATTATCTTAATCTCGTATTTACTCATTCGGTTAGTCAATGATCTTGTTCTCTGAAGTTTATTCATATAAGGTTAGGGCGTTTTTGTCATTACAAAATTAGCAGTTCATTCACCTTAATCATCAGTATGTTATCAGACCACCTTAACATTATTTTAGTTTTCAAGACCAAGTTGCGATTAGCTACTCTAATACCTTATTTTGTCCGATGTAATTTACCAATAAAATTAACTATTCAGTTTTGTTGGAAAATCGGAAGTGGCAGTCTTTATTTAGATTTTCGTGGTACGAAGTTGTATTCAATAATTACAATACATAGCAATGCGATTAATTTATTGTATACAACTCATAGTAATCATTTGTAAATATTAACGATGTACATGAAAAAACTTTGTACATACCTCGGGTAATTACAATTACCAACCAAAAGATGAAAAATAAGATCATTCCACAAAATATTCTGATGGCGATAAATGAGAATTATAAATGGAGAACAAAAAAGATAACAATGCAATGATGGATGCAGATCACAAAATTGTCAAGCTATCAGACTATGTAGACTCTCTGGACTTCTGAGGCTTCAAATGTTTTCCCTGAACGAGGACATGTTATTGTTCCATCTGGACGTGTTAACTCAGCGATACCCTGAAAAAACAAATAAAGCCAATAATATATGACAGATTTTTACTATATATTGGAAATTCCCAAGGATTTTTATTAGTATCTTGAACTAGACTTCAGCTTTCATTGATTTGTAGTGTAATTGATGTGGATCGTTGTGTGACAACTTCAGTCATGAAATATCTACTTCATTTCCCCTAATTTACATAAGTAGATTATTCATAACTGAACTGTTTAGTCCTGTATTTTGTGTCTTCGAAATGTCTATTCTCTTTTGAGCTCCATCTCAACTTTATTAAACAAATTGTGTCAAATCTTTACCACTGATCATATTATACAGTGTAACAATTTTGTTTGCATCTGGTGAGAAGCCTTGGAACAGAATTAATTCACCTTATTCAGGGGATCTAGTCGCTCTCTCGCTTTTCGCAAGGCTTTATACACAGTAACAGTTAATTTTTATATTTGGATGGATTGATACAAATAAGATGTTATTTCCACCATTATTGAAAAAAATTGTTGATAACAACCAAAAAATATAACGCTCAACTGATCATTTCTCAAACGATACATATTACAAATAATTATGCACAAAAACTAATACTGTGTTCTGTATAGACATGTTTACAAATCGTTCAGTTATCGAGGTTCTTGATCCGGTTCTGTATCTTTAACCATGACAGATATTTTCTTGAATCCTTTCAAAGAAATAACTTATCAAGAAACCTATATATCTAGCTTCTTAGGAGCGGGTGAATTGGAAAAATGTACACAGAAGTGGTCAGATGCAAGAGCTTATCATTTCGGTCATTGTTGAACATCGATCCTTTCGAGATAAGAATAATCCTCTTCACGATACTTGCGGTTCTGTCGCCTTTGAAATTAATGTTCAGATGAGGTACTTTCTTTAGTTGATACTAGGAGGTTTGGTCTTTATATTATCGGTAATGTTTTTCGCGCTGTGTGCCTATTTACTCTCCGTTTGTCCGCTGATAAGAATACCTGAAATATAAGTATCACAAGCATACTCGTTTTTTGGCTCTCGATATGCTGTTTTTGGGTTAGGCAGGGTTGCCCAATCTCACCATTCCTCTTCAACTTTGCCATCGACGACATCCTGGAAACACCTCTGATGGATGTAAGTGGTGGTGTGGATCTGCTGCCTGGAGAACGACTTCTCGACCTTGAGTATGCGGATGATATTGTCTTACTGTGCGATAATGCCCAAGGCATGCAATCCGCACTTAATCAGTGTCCGCAGGTACGGCATGTGCTTTACACCCTCCAAGTGCAAAGTACTCCTACAAGACTGGCAGGATACTCATCCTGTACTCACCCTAGATGGTGAGCAGATTGAAGTAGTCGAGAAGTTCGTGTATCTAGGTAGCTACATAAATGCTGGTGGTGGCGTGAGTGATGAGATCGATGCACGTATAACGAAAGCCAGAGCGGCTTATGCCAATCTAGGCCATCTCTGGCGTCTTCGTGATGTTAGTCTGGCTGTAAAAGGTCGGATCTACAACGCGTCGGTGAGAGCAGTTTTGCTCTATGCTTGTGAAACCTGGCCTCTCCGAGTTGAGGATGTTAGACGTCTCTCTGTGTTCGATCATCTTTGTCTCCGAAGGATTGCTGACATCCAGTGGCAACACCATGTTAGTAATGCAGAGGTTAGGCATTGTGTGTTCGGGCACAGAGACGATAATTCAATTGGTGTCACCATCTCGAAACAGCAACTTCAGTGGCTTGGACATGTTTTACAAATGTCATCCCAGAGAATTCCACGTCGTGCATTATTTGCCGACTCTGGGACTGGTTGGAAAAAGCGGAGAGGAGGTCAGTGTATGACATGGTGTCGTGGTATGAAAGAAAGTTGCAAAGGGCTAGCTTCTGTTGGTCCTTCACGACTCCCTGGCTGGGGTCCGAGAGATGGTGCAACACAGTGGCTAGAGACGTTATCAGATATGGCTCAGAATAGAAGCCAGTGGCGAGCCTACTGTAACCTTCTTTTACTTTCTTCATAAAGAGTGGCTATAACTTTCTTAACTGAGAGAGCTCTTCTGCTTGTACATTTCAGTTCCCCCCCATCATCACTCTTCTCTTCTTTTATATACACACATCTTCTCCTTCCATCCTCATTATTTTGTGTGGCGCATATGTATCCGGTGCCCTTTGTACCAATATATATGTGATTAAATAAATAAATGTTTTTTTTTAAAGTACGACCAAACACATATATGAATCGGTCCAAGTTGCTACACCTCATTAGTACAGCAAAATGAACGCCATATTCATTGGTAGTAAAAAAACATTTCATATAAGGATATGACATAGAGAAAAAGTATTAGTTCGTAAAAAGAAAGGCATAAAGTAATATTAATCTCACAGTTTAAGAGAAAACAAAGAGTGTATACACCTAAGTCATTGTGATCGTTTCTAAGTCACGTCACAGAGTCTCCAACCATTGGTTACGATAATCACGCGGACCCCAAACAAGTAGTCCGCATCTACCAACATGGCTGACTAGAAGTTGATGGCTTCATGCTCTGATGCCACGTTTTGGTTTGGTCACCCTCAACTTTCTTCTAACCATCCCCAATATTGTTAGCATAGCGCGTCTTTGTAATCGGTGTTCAGACATACGTAACACGTGGCCCAACCATCTCAGTCGATGAAGATTCATGATCTCATCAACTGTTTTACCATCATTCCCTCATTATTACTTACCCGGTGATCCCAGCAGATGCGAGCAATATTTCTAAGGCATCTGTGGTCAAATACTAGTAACTTACGAGTATCTTCTACTCTTAATGGCCATGTTTCGCAGCCGTAAATTAGAACAGAACGAACTGCTGCACAGTATACTCGTCCCTTAATTAATAGACGGATATCTCGTCTTCGCCATAAGTGACGTAAGTTGGCAAAATCCAAAACGAGCTTTTTGAATCCGTGTAGAGATTTCGTCAGACACTAACCCATTAGGGCTGACCAGACTTCCAAGATAAGTGAAGTTGTCAACGCGTTCGACTACTTCACTTTCTATCCTTAGTTCAGGTGTTGACGCAGGCCAGTCCTGGAGTAACAATTTACATTTGGATGGGGAGAAATGTATCCCAAACATCCTGGCATTATTACTCAGTTCCAACAGAAGACTCTGCATTTTGTCAGTGTCTTCACCAAACAGGACTATGTCATCTGCGTATTCTAAGTCGATAAGTGAACCTCCTGGTAGAAGATCAACTCCTGAAAATTCAGTCGACGAGAGTGTTATTTGCAGCAACAGGTCTATAATGAAGTTAAACAAAAATGGGGATAGTGGACAGCCTTGACGGACACCACTTGAGGTTGTAAAATCATATGACAGTTCGCCATAAGCTCTCACTCGACTGGTAGTGTTCAAGTAAAGAGCCTTCACAAGGTTTATGTACTTCTGAGGTACACCTTTCAATGACAGATACTGCCACAGAACCTCTCGGTCTACAGAATCAAATGCTGCTTTCAAGTCAAGAAAAACTATCATTGTCTGACGCCGATAAGCATGCCTATGTTGTAAAACCTGACAAATGGTGAATATGTGGTCGATACAGACACGACCAGGTCTGAAGCCAGCCTGATTTTCTCGTGTTTGCAGTTCACGAGTCTTAGGTAGGTGCCTGATAATTACTGAGGCTAGTGTTTTAGATGCCATATTAGTCAAACTAATGCCTCCATGGTTATCACAGGATGATTTTGACCACTTCTTATATAATGAGACAATCACCAGTGATTGTGACCAGTCAGATGGGATTACGTTCAGCCCCCAGATTTTAGCCAAAATATTAGTCAACCTAATCGCTAAAATTGGACCACCATATTTAAAGACCTCTGGGGCCAATCCATCTGGGCCAGCTGCTCTTTCTCGTTTCAGATTAGCTATAGTCTTTCGAACTTCATCTAGAGTCGGGGGGCCTACTTCAATGTTCTATTCAGGCTGTCTGGGAATGGTGGGTACTTGTAGAGTAGCTAAAGGTCAACTGAACCGCTCCTTAAAGCGTTACGCCGATCGTTCTAAACGTCTGGGCTAAGAGCAGATAGGAGTGTCATCTTTTTCTGAGATCGTTTAACTCACAATTGACTTTTTAATTCCAGTTTCTTTTATTAGTCAATGCGCTAGGTCGACAAAATATATACGTAGTAAGAATATATACTTCATCGGTATCATCGTTTGTTAGCCTGTGGAATCAACACGCATCTATAATAAATAAGTGCTCAATCCATCTCTGCTTTCCATCAGGAACCTACATGAAATTACAAGGAAAACTGAACACCTTACAGTTTTACTAACAAATAAAAAAAATAGAAGATATATATGGCTGAAATAAAGCTATTTCAAAAGACTTCGGTGTTATCTCACATAAGAGAAAGATAAGATGCAGTTAACTCAATCAATCTTATTACTTGACTTAAAGCTGCTACCGTAAAAAAAATATATACGTGATTCGACTAACATCCTGGTACTATTGTTACCAATTTCGTAAACACAAGAAACATTCAATTAGTACTCACTTAATTTTACTATTCCTTCTTTACTTCGAATTAATTCACCCATAATAAGGTCTCAGATAAAACATTTTATCCGATTTTTAATTACATTAGTATTTCCCACAACCTATGTTGCCCATATTACAATGATTGGCACAGATTCAATTGACAACCAAACTTATTCGGATGAATACCACGTTAATAATCCTAAATTAATACGTAATATTCTAAAGAGTGGTTTAAATTTGGCTATTCGTTTGGTTTATGAATCGTGACTTAGAATCTAGTGAGAATTTATTTTAAAAAATATTCTTTCATATATCCACATTTCTTGGAAATTTGTCCTTATTAACACTAGTTACCGTTTTAAAAATTAATCCATTTCTCACTCCAAGATATTTACATTTACCTTTCGGATGTGAAGAGTTATAAATCAACTATACCATGTATTCGAGTATAAATATACTGAAAACCCTTTATGAAATACCAAATTCATGAAACTTATTTAAAACAAGCATGGTTAGCAGTGGAATCCAGGACGCGTGTTTCGTCCTATTTGGGACTCGTCAGCTGGATGTACCTGTATCTCAGAGTTGATGTTCACTCTGGGACTCGAACCCAGTGCCCTCGCTTCAAACGCCATCGCGTTATCCACTCGGCCACTGAGTCCTGATAGCCACTTGCTTGTGCGATGGGGTGAAGTTTAAATTCAACTTAGTATTGTTTGTTTGAATCTTCCCATCGATTTGTTAGGACTGCAACTGGTCAGTCTCTAATTGGCATATGTGCATACTGTGCGTATTGCCTCGATATACCTTAATTCACAAGCATGGTTAGCAGAGTGATTAGCAAGTGGCTATCAGGACTCAGTGGCCGAGCTGACGAGTCCCAAATAGGACGAAACGCGCGTCCTGGATTCCACTGCTAGCCACTATCCATCTCTGCTAACCATGCTTGTGAATTAAGGTATATCGAGGCAATACGCACAGTATGCACATATGCCAATTAGAGACTGACCAGTTGCAGTCCTAACAAATCGATGGGAAGATTCAAACAAACAATACTAAGTTGAATTTATTTAAAACAAGTTCGACATACCTTCTGGCTGTAAACATAGCCATTTGGTAATGACATTGGAGGATTTTCATCATTCATAGGAAGGCCAGTTTTGTAACACGTTAATATAGAATGATCATGACGAGCAAATGGTAAATTCACTGCCAACAGGTTGATTAATGGATGACAAACAGCACAGTCTCGATGTTGAGTATTTGGGTTGTAACAGTAACTAGAAGGAGCGATGTAAGGTTATAGAAAACACAACATCCTGATTTAGTTATAAATTATGCAGAAAGAATGGAACTGTACTATACAAGATATGTTTTGTGAGATCTTTGTCCAAGTTGGCTGGTGTACTAAGCTCCAACGTAGAAGTAATGCCAATAAATTCGATTCCATTTGGCAACTACCGGAAGCTATTAGAACTCATTCGAACCACTGGCAAAAAGGAATTAGTGTGAGTGAGACAATCTATGAAGTTAATGAGACACCAGTCAACAATGTCTGGCGACGTCTTGGAGAATGGGCAGAAGCCCTCGAGGGACAATCTAGCTGGTCCGCTAAACTAGCAACCTTAATCAGACTTTCTTCTTTACCTAGATCAATGAAGACTGATCCATTTAGAGAGGAAAAGGTCCGTATAGAACTCCAACTTCTGAAGATCTGCCATAATTATCGCACGCTTGCAATCATTGTGTTTCTTGACACCAGGAGCACCTTTGATTAGTTGGAATAGACTGCTCTCTGAGATTGTCTGCTGAAGAAGGGTGTGTCTGAGAAATTCACCATCTACCGTATACAAATAGCTCAGTAAAAATGAGAGTATGGAACCAAATCTCATCATTTTCCACTTGAAGGGTGAGGTTAGATAGGGTTTCCAAACCTTACCATACCTCCTTATCTTTGACATCGGTGATATTCTAGAAGCACTTCAAATGGAAGTAGGTAATGATGGTATGGATCTGTTACCCGGAGAAAGACTTTCTGATCTTGAGTATGAAGATGACATTGTCTTACTGTGATATGACAATAAAATTATACAATTCGCATGTCCGTAGGTATGAGATGTATTGTGCATCTTCTAAATGCAACGTGGTTTCACAAGACTGGGAAAAGTTTGTGTCTACAATCACGCTTGATGATGAGTAGTTGGAATTAGTCGAAAAGCCTGAGTAATAAGCGTGAGTGGTAAGATTACTCTATCTACCATGGAAACCAGAGCGACTGCTGCCTAAGAGTCATCTTTGGCGCCGACACGATGTTAGTCGGACTGAAAATGATCGGGTCTACAATGCGTCAGTGAATAGTTTCGCTCTATGCATTAAAGACCTGACCTCTCCGAGTTGAGGATGTTAGACGACTATCAGCGTTCAATCATCAAAAGGATTGTTTACTTCCAATGATAACGCCGTTTTGGTACTACTGAGGTTCGGCAACGTGTTTGAGAGGTAAAGGTTTGTGAATTTTTGCGATCGTTTAATACACTTTGATGTTAGATAATTAAAAGCGATGGAAAGGAAGTTTGAATCTTGGTTTCGCACTTTTTCGTACTCGTCCACGATGAATACCCGTTATCTTCGAGAAACCGATGTTCTCCGTGGGATTCACATTGGTGTCATAGTCAGAGATGTTACAGCTGAGCCACTCAGTTTAACTGTACAAAATTAAGTTGACAAACATATAGTGGTATATTGGATAATTATAAGAGCACCGACAATATTAAACATAGTTGTATATCTAGGTTATGTTTGACAACCAGAATGCACCGTTTGCCATCTAGATATACGGTCAACCCAATGTTTGTTGTCTCACTAGAACTTGAACCTGCAACCCATCATCCTAAGCACTAATGTTATTTACATATTGTTAAGAGATGAACAGATGTTACTACAGTCGACACCTTTCTGTCATGGAGAACAAACTACAACATTTAAACTGAGTGTTTACTTCTTGAATAACAGTTTTGTTGACAAATAAGCCCATTAGTTTTACCTTTTGTGAAGAGTTCATCGCGAAATACTACATAGGTGACGTATGAACATATAACTATATAACTGATAGTTTATTCGGAATAAAAAAGGATACTGAGTCTTAATTGCTGTAATTCCAGCATTAACAGCCAGTTGAAATGGAGTGTTAACATTGTAAGCGTAAAATTCCATAAGTACTTCATGAGTCCGTTTAACTATCCACTCCTCAGTTAGCTTATTCTGATCCTGAAAAAGAGAAAAAACATATACTAAAAATTAGTCCTTGGACACAACTGCAATTAAACCAGATAATTGGAGACTTAAATATTCAGAACTAAATGTGCGAAACAACAGATATCGCATTCATTTACATCACAGTGAATCCAAGGAAAAACTACCTTTTTCCAAATATTATGTATGATTTTTTCTTTGATTTTATTTGTTTCTTTCGTACTGTTATCCCGATGTCTTAAAATGCGTTGCAGTTAACATCATTTCAACTCTTCCTTTCAGCATGCTGATTCCCCTCTCTGTGCTCCAAGGTTCTGTGTTAACAATCATTGAATAACTACTAACTACTATATATAGCCTAAAATCCACATCATAGTATACAGTTATTGTAAAAAATGTTAGGGGTTAGGTAAAACTAAGATTTAGATTATGGGAATTTTTCTTGTGGTCAACTGGTACTATATAGGTTATGTACAACAAAGAAAAGCACTGATCAAGGAAAATTCTCTATTTAAGACATATATGTGCTCATATATATAAATTAAAAGAAAGATCGATTTGTCTACTAATAATTAATTTGGGAATATTCTATTAGCTTTAATGAGAATGTATGTTGTGAAAGTTATCAGTTGTATAGGTTTATTTTCAAGTTCTATTACCTGAATATTGTAAAAAAACTTTTATATATGAATGATAATGCAGCTAAAATTAGAAAGCTTTAAACAACAGAGTTTTTTTCAGTTTTTACTACATACTAATTGTTAAAATCTGTGATAATTATTTTATGATTAATTTTATGTGAACAAAGAATACAGTCAATATTTAAATGTTACACAAAATAACAATATGATAGTTTGTTGTGGAAAAATCCATTTAGTTTACTATGAACAAAAAATAAGATTTCAGTAAAATCAAGAAAATTAAACATACTGCCTTATTCTGAAGTTCTTCAGGTGTACGCATTGCCAGTAAAATCATCGCCTGACCAAGTTTTGTGGCACGATAATCATCAGCTTGTTTCACTGAATTCATGTATTTTCTAGCATGCCTAAAAATCGTGAGCATCACTTATTAATCAACGAAATAATTACTATCGCTACTCTAATACGGAAAAATTTTATTTATTGTTGACGGGCATTATCAAAACATTGTAACGACGTTAGGTTTAACACCTTTTCCGAACTGTAATAATTATGAGCAGAGATAGACGGCGGCTAGTAGTGAGATCCAGGACGCGCGTTTCCTCTTATTCGGGACTCGTAAGCTGGATGTACCTGCATTCCAGAATTGGTGTTCACTTCATGACTCGAACCCAGCACCCAGAACAAATAGGATGAAACGTGTGTCCCTGACTCCACTAGTGGCCACCATCCATCCCTATTTATGAAGCGATCCGTACAATATGTACATGTACCAATAAGAGACTGACCAATTGCAGTCCTAAACATCAATAGGAAGATTCAAACAACCAATACAAAAATGAATGTAATGATTGTGATAAAGGGAAGTACAATTAGATGACAATTTTCAAGTATAAGTATATAGGGTAAATTCTCATCAGTGGTTATCAACTTAGGGATTGATATGATATATACATCTACAAATCATGATGAATTTGTCAAACTGTACTGAAGTCAGTTATAAATTGGTGTGCTTTTAAAAGAATGTTTCTCTTTTTTTAATCACCTACTTGAATGCTGTTTACATTCTAGTACATCCTAGACATATACTGATTTTCGGTGATTAACAAAACTGCCGACCAGTGTATGTACTTATTATCGTTACTAAACACCAAACCGAGCTAGAATTACTGGAGTTTGCCGATCATCAAGAGTATATAAATAATCAGTGGTTGTACTTGAAAGAAGAAAAGAAAGTGAATAGCGAATGAAAGTGTAGAGTAAAACTGACCGTGAATTCATTCTGAAACATGTATTAAGTGCATACGGTGTTAGAGGCTAGCAAATCGATTATTCTGTTGGCTTCAAATTAAACTGACTAAAAAATAACGTAACTGGTTTATAAAGTGGTGCATTAGATGAAGAATGGTTGTGTTTGCGTCTGTTGAAGAGTTTCAACTGACTTAATGTAGTATCAAAAATCATACCGTTGAGTAGATAGACAAGTTATTAGATATAACTCATAACCATAACTGGTGGTTATTTGCCTACATTTTGCTTGTTCCGTTTAAACAATACCAGCGAACAGCAATGCTAGCTTTGAAAAATAAATTTGATGAATATTGTTTGCATTTTCTGATAATCGTCAAAATTTACATGTCTTTAAATTTATCTATTTAGAATACTGTGTGGTAAATCAATTAGTGCTCATAAAGTGCGCGATTCACCTGAAATAATCAAAAACAAGCGAATTTCATAATTGCGCTTTCTTATCAACATCTTTAAAAAGATCACTATGATATATTTATTTAACTCCTTCACATAAGAAATAACTGAATCAATTATAATTGGGGTTTGCCGATTTTTCACACAGATATTTCATTATCAGGTTACTATATCAGCAACTATTTTATCATGTAACGAAAATAGATAATAGGATTAATAGTAAAAACCATTTTAAATTCATATATACAGGGACAATCTTGGACTTGAGACCTAGGTACGAAAAAATGTAAGCCGCTAATAAGTATTCAAAAAACTATTCATTCACACCTAGAACATGAAATCGACAAGATGTCAACAACTTACTGAATGGCTTCAATTCGTTTCCCCTGCTTGACAAGTAGATAGAATTCGAATACACGAAGATCAAATTCATAGTATGACTGAATAACAAGTTATTAAAAAAGAAAACATCGTGAAATATAGATTTATGGGGGCCAACTATTAATCATAAAATATGAAAGCCGAAATCTTTTCGTTAATATACATTTGAAACGTTATGACTAACCGAAATCCCTCAGGCCCTTTGGTAATTTACAGCATCTCTGTTGCGCTTAAGTTTGCCTACGGTTGATCTTATCAAGCCCTCCAATTAGCTTATTTAACAGATAGTGTTGTTGGAACAGTAACAATTTGTCTATGTCTTTGTATTATTATTATGTCTGTAAGATCATGTGGGCTTGGTCACATGTGATAGCCTGCGCACGTATCCCCCTCTCTAGCTTAATCGCTCGATGAATCACTTGCTTCCATATATATATATATATATATATATATATATATATATATATATATATCTGCATTATTGCATAGTAAATTGTAGTAGGTGCTTCGTGTTGCCTTATGAATTCAAACATTGAGGGTTCATTTAATAACGGTTATCAGGGCGATTGACATATGAAGCCTAAGGAATCATTTCGAAGCTAATTCACTACAAGTTTTCGCATATAAGCGATTCTTAATCAATCAAATATTTGAAAGCGGTTTATGAAAAAAAGATATTATGGTAAATTAAATAATTGTGATTCGCTTCCCGAAGTGAATATTGTGTAAATGAGAACAGCCAAACTAGGATAAAAAAAGATAAGTCGTTTTAACTAACTTCCCATTCTTTGCTTTTTTTTACGATCTTCCAGACAGTTTTGAGCTAACTTCATTGACAACTTATACGATAATGTCTGCACAAGTCCGACATGTGTGACTGCTGATTAATCAAACACCTACACTATTAACTTACAAAAGAATGATTTGATGAAATATTTTTACTGATAAGTGAAAAGTAGTAGGTTGCTTACGTCGTTCTTCTTCAACTTGAAGTTAGCTTCTTGCAACCAAGAGAATGCTGGACCTGTATCTCCTTCTAAAAGCGCCTTCTCAATAGACACAGCTTCATCAAAAACTTCCATCATACATAGATCACCAAGCTCGGCTTTTTCCTGAGCAAATTTCAATGCCGATAAAGGTTGACCACTTGTAAAAAGATAATCTGTCAAGTGTCTTTGAAATCTTGCTAGACAAAGTGCGCGTTCATCAACAGAATAAGTAGAACGGCGTTTAAGTGTAGTGTCTGATTCACTGCTATTAACTTTGGAAATTGATTCTTCAGACTTTTGATTATTTCCAGCGTTGAAATGCAGCTCATCTGCAATAGTGCACCATTTAAAAAAACACAGTGAAAATTGAGATAGGCGGAGAAAAAAGAGATATTTATCCGAAATAAAACCACTAGTATCAAAAGATACAAATAAGCGAGATGTGGTTACATAACTTCATGTCAAAACTTAGAATTTTTCACTACTTTCAATGTAACTTGTTATTTAATTACGGCTGTGGTAAAGTTGACTATGACGGTACCTTAGTCAAGTTTGTCACACTATAAAATACTCGCGTAAAAAGTTGAAATAAATAAGTATAAATTAATAATGATAGAATGTCTAGGATCCAAATGAATCTTAAGTCGCAACACTGAATAATTTTGGTTACTAACTGTTATACAACACGACAATAAGTGATTCTGATCTTATGATAACCTAACTAATCTTGTTTGCTTATTGAAAACTGAAGCAACTGGAACCTCCATACATGTTTACGCGTAACGTTACTAAAAAATAGGACCTAAATCGGTTTGAGTATTTTTATATTGCGATACAATAAATTAGCAAAGACTGATGAATCACTGAATATTTGAACAAACCTATGGCTGATTACTTCGAGACGGTCTTCATTCATGAGCCTCCTCCCGAAAAAGGACTGGGCCGAAAAGTCATGTCACCAAACCGGATGCTTACTGTAGACTTCAGCCAGGATGACGTAATAAATGCGCTGAGCTCCTCAGGCACAAAAACGTCAGTAGGACCAAGCAACCTATATCTGGGAAGTTCGAGAGAAATCGCAATAAACATAACCACTCCACGTAACAAGATCAAGACAATTTTTGTCAAACTTCACTAGTGTCTTAATTAAAATATTAGAAAGAATCATCAAGACGACCACTCTGACTATCGCAGAAACCAAGAACTTGTCAAACAGTGAGCGTAGTTTCAAGAAAGCAGCATCATGCTAAGGCATCCCTATAGCAAGGAAGATGGATGGAGTCATCTTACAACAGAAATTCAGTGAGTGTTGTCTACGTTGACTTAAGTGGAGTGTTTGATAAGGTGCCACATAATAGACTTTTATGGAAGCCCGGAAAAGTATGGATTCCTGGACCTTTACCAAAATGAGTCAAACAATCCTCGTTAGTCGGTCAACAGGAAAGTAGGAATGAATTCCATAATATACTTTTGGAAAACCAGTACTTGATAGAATACCGTAATGCTCTGTTCAGGACTTTTTATGCTGTATGTGCTTGAACTCCCAAGTACCCTTTGATCTTCAATGCCACTTCACGTCGATGACTTAAAGGTCTGGTTATAATTAACCACAATTCTGTCATTTAATGGAATTATAATTACTAAGGGAACTTAGTGAGAGATTCAACTGAAACAACCCGTTCAACTTAATATACTACATATAATTTAAAAAGCGTTGAGTTTGCCCTCTTAAAAATACTAACCTGAAGTCCGAGTAAACATTCCACTATCAAGCAAACACAGTTGACTGAGGTGCCCGATTCTGCGTTTACATGATTTCAACAGCTTTCTTTCCTCAATGCATACATATTCAGCCTGAAGGGGAGTTAGTGGGTCAATATTTTTCTACTTTGCGTTTCACGCCACAAACGGTTTCTATAACTCTACTGAGTGCTGCTGTAGCTTTTGTAATGTCTGTTGCATTTTCCAACTCGTCAAGAGACTTATTTAAAGCAGCTATGCCTTTCTCCATGTCACGGTGATTGCGTCTGTACCGTTTGTTCAGAGACTCGTAGCTAGCCTTTAAAAGAAAGCTTACATTTCTGAGTCATTATACCTTAACGGTTGTGTACTCCATAACCTCCACCTCATTTTGGTTCTTATTATCGCTGGACATAGTCAGCTGATTACGGAGGAATTCAAACTCCCCGGCTGAACAATTTCACAATATCCCTATAATAAATCTAACTTCTTTTCTCTACATCCATTTTATTTAGAAATAGCCTTAGGTCTTTGAAGATGTTTATCCGTCTTTTATATTGCTTATATTTTTACTTCAGGTTATTATGGACTCATTAAAACTAGGTACGGAAGCTAAGTATTTTAAACATTCTGAAGTTTGAACCAGGTGGCTTTAATATTCTTTTATCAATGAATCCTATCCTAAATTTCTCTCTTCATCTAATCTTAATAAATAACCCTTTGTTCTTGAAAGATGAATGGGATGATTCTGTGGTGTTTAGTCAGAACATTTTAAATTCTCACGACAGTATACACATTTTACGTAAGGGATTAGACAGAGCATATGACTTTCAAATTCATTACTGATATTCTATTTATTAACTCGTGCTGATTAATTTGATCAGTAGAAGTTGTCTGTTACCTTGAGAAATGATCGTTAAGGTATAGAGACAGTAAACTGCACACCCTCAGTACGAGGTTCTCTGATGGTGATCTATATCCAGCCTCATGTAAACATGAAGTTGACCGATAATTTCAACTGTCACTCAAAAGGTTCTCCAAACTTAGCCAAGTACAATTACCATGTTGGACCGAAAATCAACCTCTGTCCTATAACGCATGCAGATTAACTTATAGAAATCTGTAAACTGGAAACATTCTCCGCTACATTCTGAGTCTTGTAACAGCCTGTCCCTTCAATGATTATTTCGCCACACATCCTTTTCATTCTGTGTTTACTAAATAAAACTATGATTCGGCATTTAGACAGTAAATGTAAACAAAGAAGATTGCTGACCTATATCTGTTACTCTATATCATAAACTTTTCAACCATTTTAGAATATGTGAAATTTTTTAAGATTAAATTATTGATCTCCTGCAGATGGAGTTTGATATTTGATGAGATTGTAGGGTCCAACTTTTGTGACGAGAATGCGATCGGTGTAATGGAAACAATTATTATAAACAATTGTACCGGTGACTGTTTTACTGAATTTGTTTGTTTAAGTGTACCAAAGACACACTTTCTTCTGTCGTCTGTGACCTTGCACGAGCTCGCATACGCTCGGTAGTTTCGCTTGTAAACTTCGGCACGTCTGAGTATTCTTTCGATACCACGAGATCGCCAACAAATATATCTTATTGCATCCGTCAACAGCCTTCTGATTTTCGGCCTACGCAGGGATCCAACCTAATATGTGTTACGTAATCTTCCTGTAGTGGTGATCATAGTCAAACGCGTCGCAACGCCTACTACAAGATCATTCTTTAAACAGCCACTGAATCTGTTCGCTTTCAATAATTACTTATAACGTTTGAGTGTGAAAACACAACTCATCTTCAACGTTTTGCAGAAGGTATATAACAAAATTCCGAGTTTTTCACTGATAAGTTGAGGGACGTGTGATTGTACTTCTTGAAGTTGAAACACGTCTTCAACATATGGACTTAGAGTGTGAAATACTGTGAAAACGAGATTACTTTGAGAACACAGATGTGTCAAACTGGGATCGCCTTACGGAAATTGGTACTCAAAACATCTCCGTTTATAACACTAGCCGAATTTGGAAGATTATTCCCGATGGCTTTTGTTTTCTGTGTGCATACTCGGTCACAATTAGGTTTTAGATCACTTTTCATACCTTTAGGCAGTCTAGAAGTATGTATGTAATTTATAGCCAGCCTCTATCCAGAACTTCGGAACGACTGATTTTAAAACATCGGCGAGCTAAATGCATTTAATAGCTAACAATAAATACGAAACGAGTTGTTTGAATTTCTTCATGCTACCATAACCTCTAGGGTTTCATGAGTAGCACTTTGGAGCTGCAGTAAATTTAGATGTTGAGTGGTTTTTAAGTAATGCATTACTCATAAAAGTTTGAAATATTAGCAAACAGATGTTCAAAAATTAGTTCCAACTTCAGGGATAGGGCTCATGTTTTCTGACCCCGGAATCCAACTGATTCATTTTATGTCAAAGTCCGAGGATGCAGATGATAAAGCTTCAGAACCATTTTAGATTATTGTGAGGATGCCAACTTTGATGTTGTATTTTTGCGTTGAATCTATAGAATTCCTTGACGAATAATACGACAGTTGAATCTTGAAAGTGTCTTATTCATCATAGAGCTGTATAAAAGGATTTTGTTATTCTCCATAGACTTAGTCGAACGAACCTGCTACATATGACTTAGAGTGAGTCCTCATTGACTATCTTCACATATAACTGCCAGCACCTGTCTTATTGAAGAGAAATCCATTTTGTCCCACCTTGAAAAATAAGTACTAGTGGTTTTGTGTGCTTCAAAGTTCGCCCATGGTGTACACCTTACGGTTTACAATGTTACCAGTAAACACAATACGTCTATCGTTGGACCGAATCAAAGTAGCCACAAATAAGTAATGCTTTTCTGATGCTCACTTGATCACAAAACATATTCACTGATATCCACTACATGTGTACTAGTTCAAGCTTAAGTATAACTTTACATATTCCCACAAGTCCACGAGATGATGAGAAAGTTCAAATCCGTCATCTAGGGAAAAAAGACAGAAAATAGTAATATTACACGCGCATTATATGTGTGCACAAGAAGAAAGGAACTGACCCCAGTATATACTCACCTATCCCGTTCAAATTCAACTCATTTGCAGATGCCAGTTAGCACCTAAATTTCTCCAATACGATGAGACAAAAAACAGATTTTTGAGGATGTAAAGATTTTTTCAGATAGAACGCCATACCAGCGAAAAACTGGAAGACCTAGTTACAGACCAATAGCGTTAAACTATCAAATGCATCATAATCCCAAAGTTCGTAAATGTAGGTCTGATTCTAAGAGAAGCTCTGACTTTAAAAATATTCCGCTATTGATGAAGTCTCCCGAATTTCTAATAATTCAAAACCTAGAAGATAGTAACTTTGACCTAACTGATGTTCTATCTTCTAAAAATGTTGGTTTCAGACTGACTATTGACGGTTGTGCTGAAAATGAGTTGGTACGTACAGCTATTATCACCGTCAGTCCGGAAGTCTAAGGAGTTGGTTCCGACTTGGCATTTCTGAATGTTGACAGTAATGCCATGCCTTTGAAGTCGTTCGAAAACAGTGTTCAGATGCTGGAGATGGGATTCTCTGTCTGGACTTTCTATGAGACAGTCATCAACATACGCACGTACCAAGTTGAGACCTAGGAAAGCGTCATCGATGAACCTTTGCAAGGTTTGAGCAGCATTTCTTAGGCCGAAAGGCATTCGTAAAAATTCGTAGAGTCCAAAAGGAGTTATGATAGCGGTTCTTGGAATATCGTCAGTAGCCATAGGGATTCGGTTATAAGCCTTAACCAAGTCGATTTTTGAAAAGACAGTTGTAACTTTCAAGGTAGCTGTCAAACTGTGAATGTGAAGCAACGGGTAACGATCGGGAATGGGTTTTGCATTCAAACGCCAGTTGGATGCCAATCGTTGCTTTATTTTTTAGAGACCATGTGCAAAGGCGATGTCCGTGGAATGTTCGACGGTCGAATGATTCCTAGCTCTATCATGTGGTCAAATTCGTTTTTAGCCAACCTCAGCTTTTCGGGAGCCAGTCGGCATGCTTTCGATAATACAGGTGGTCATGTGGTCGTGATGTGATGTGTAACATTGCTGGCTACACAAGGCAATTTCGGTTGCGGTTGGTATATCCCGGAGTACTTATCAAGTAGTGATTGATAGAATGGGTCTATTGTGTGCCTGGGGGATAATCTGCAACCATAAAAATAAGTTACGCAAACAGATAAATTAGTGTTTCCGTCTACTAGCCTTCGTTTGCGTGCATCAATGAGTAGGTTGTGATGTAGGAGGCTTATACCAATGATCGGCATAGAAACATTTGCAACAATGAAGATCCAGTGAATGTGTTTGTGTAATCCCACGTTAAGGTAAACGTACCTTTTACAATATGTGGCGATCTGCTTTCCATTTGCCGCCTGTAAGTTTATAACAGATTCGTAAAGCCGGTCGTAAGGATTTGCTGGAAGAAGACTAACTTCTGCGCCAGTATCGACGAGGTAGCGAACTTTCGTGATCACATCTGTGACGCATAAAAGACAGCTATGTTCGCCGACTACGGTTGCAGTTAAAGCGTGCCGGCTTGGAAGTTTCCCGAATTGTTTTTCGTGTCGGTCAACTTGGAGTTCGGGTAATTGCAGGGTTTTCTGCGATTTCTGGAAGACTTCCTATGTCGGTTATGATACCAGTACCAGTCGGGATTATTAGTCTTTCGTCATCTGGAGGCATATCGCCTACGCGAAATGTTTCTTCGCAGAGTTCGCAACCGGTTACAGTCATTATGAAATCGAAGGAAACGTGTCAGTGTATGATGTAGATCCAAAATGTCATTCTGTCTCTCTTGAGGTCTTTGTTTGACTGAAAATACCTCGGCATTAGAAGCCTTCGTGAATTCTAGGATGCGGTCGGCAGATGCAGCCGGCTCATCTACAGCGTTGTTTCGAAACGAGAACTGCCTGCACCTGTTGCGTAAGTTTAGACAAGAAAAGTTGTTTGAATAGGCCTTCGTCGAAAGGTCTTTGGCCGATAACTTCTCTCATCCTTAGCAGCATATCTGTCACAGAGCCACGCTGCAGGTCGATACTATTAAGGAGTTGATCTAACCTTTGTTGACCGGTTAGATCTCCGCGTTTAAGAATCGACCGTTTCAGAGTTTCGTAAGGTTCCAAAACATCACTAGTAAACATACTAAGTGTTACGTTCCTGTTGAAACCGTGCGGTAGTGCCTTTACAACTGCGAGGAACTGTGCGCGTGATTCAGTAACGCCGTGCTCGTAGAGGTCGGCTTCTGCGTAGCAGAACCAGTCACTGATGTTGTCTGACCAGAAGGGCATTAGTTGAAACGAAGGCGGGGACATATTCTTTAACTTAAATACTCTGAGTGAGAAATACCATAGTGAGAAATAAAATATCAGAATAAACGAGAAAAAATATCACAATGTATAAAAGTTAAAATAAAGCAATGGTTTAAAAGCTTCCGAAAGGGAACAGACTCACAGTTTATAGGTTGGTGTACCAGATCACGTCGAGCTCACCAATGAAAATACCACAGGTATTGTAGTTTGAAAACACTTTATCAGTGACACCTATTGATGATGCAACGGGTATTCTAGTTTTACAACTAGTTACCAGTAGCACCTTC